ACACAATGACTACATCAAGCTTGTGAATCTACAAACTTGTTGGATACATTTACAGCTTGTTTTGGTTGTGTTTCAGATTATATTGCGCCCAATAGGAACTGAATGGTGAATAATTTGTGTCATTTTGTAGTCACTTTTATTGTAAGTAGGGCGGCAGGTAGCTTAGTGGTTAAGAGCGTAGTGGCAGTAACCGAAAGGTCGCTGGTTCTAATCCCCGAGCCGACTAGGAGAAAAATCTGTCGATGTGCCCTTAAACCCTAATTGCTCCTGTAAGTCGCTCTGGATAAGAGCGTCTGCTAAATGACTAAAAATGTAAATGTAAAAATGTAAGTAAGGGGGGTCTAGACATATAAAGTGTTTTCATTTCTAAATAGTAAATCAGATATGTCTGAAAATACCCTAAAATAAAAGGTGACATTCTGTACTGTAACCTCATATCAAACATTTGATCTCAAATCCGAAATTCTGGAGAATAGAGCCACATTTAAAAATGTTGCTTCACTGTCAAAATAAATATGTAGTGTAGTAAAATTCAGTAACACCAAGATGACCCCAATTTTGACAGTGAAACAATTTATACATATCTATTTCTTCATCAATGCTGAAAACTGGTCCTTGTCTCTAAAATGAGATATGCAAAAAAGGATCAGATTTAAAGGGGCATTCAGAAGTTGCTACAGCCATTTTTGGACTTATATTAATGATATGTACCCATTGATTCATGAAGATTATAACTTATTAATGCCTCATGAGTTTAATTCAACTGTCATACCCCATCAGAACCCAAAATATAAGCTTGTTTTACACAAACTATATGCTTGTTTTAGTCAAATGTTTGCAAACAAAGTAAATGTTTAAAAAAAACACTGTATAGCCTTAAAACATGGTTAAAACTGTTATTTTAATATAATTGATGGTAAGTTATTGCATCCATAGCTCTGTCTATAAATTGAAAGTGGTTACATTTCCCCAACCCCATCAATCAACTTTTTACCAAAACAGGGGAGCTTTTTACCAAAATCGGGAAGGGGAGTGAGCTTTGTTATTGTTTCAACTACCGATTACGGCTTTAATAAAAAATTTGAAAAAAGGCCACTGAATAACAAGGAATTGTATAGATGAATCTATTAAAATCGCTCATCAATGCCTGAATCTTCCTCCTCAGTGACTGGCCCAAAAGTTTGCACTGGTCTGGCTCTTGATGTACTGGCCCTTATTTTCACCTAAGGTGAAGTGATTTGTCAGCTGAGGAAAGGCACCTGCAGTAGACCCACGTTCTGGCTCACTCACACAGCTAACATGTGTAGATGTTCACAAGGATGCTAACAAGTGCACCCTTATGCCTCATGCTCAATGTGCAATATCATTGATGCCCGTGATCAGGTCATATCACTGAGTCTACGTTTAAATTTAAATTTGTGCCATGTGGGCTCTACTTTGACAAACAAATTGCAATGATAAATCATAATGCTGTGGTGCTGGGTGTGTGTTGGGAATATTTGTGCACGTATGGGAGTTATAGGGGTTACATTACCGGTAATGTATGACTTGTTACATTACCGGTTCTGGGTTGAGCTCCTCAGCCAGCCTTTTTGCCTCGTTATTGGCCTCTTCCAGTTGGGCTTGTGGGTCCTTCTCTTGGTTGAGCTCCTCAGCAAGCCGTTCTGCCTTTTTAATAGCCTCATCCAGATGGTCTTGGAGGCCATACCATCTCAAAAGAAACATAAAGAGACAACTTCCAATCCTAACACATTCCTTCACATAGTAACCTCCCGTGTCTATGAGAAAAGCTGCATGTCATTGACAGCTGTGTTTTACTATGTCCTGCACATAACTAAAGGTCTTCATCCTCCTCCACACGCACACTGACTGATCTACAAATCACTTTGCATTACAAATAAATATGTATTATTACTTGCAGATCAGTCAGTCTGTCACCATTTACCAACAATGCATTATTACTCTGTCACTTTCTTTTTCATGTTGTTCTATGACATGTGTGCAACTCCAGTCCTTAAAGGCTACAGTGTCTGCAAGTTTCGGCTCCTCCCTTGTACATGAACAATCAATTTAGATCATTGACTAGTTAGGACCTCATCTCACCCGATTGTCTATGTCTTAACAGGATTTGATCAACTCCTTTATGTCCCTCCTAGGGTCCCTCTGTCCTTCTTCCAAGGAGAAGTCACAAGATGAATACAGATTGAGTGGCAATGTGTATTTCTTTGAAGATGCTAAGAGGAAAAAGGTGAATATATAGCCTAACTATAGGTGGCTAAAATAATAAGTGAGAATGATATCCAAATATATGCAAGTAATGCAACAAAAATATCCACACATTCTATGTTGTCTATGCAACTTTCTTTATTCACCTTAGCTACGTAACCTTCCTTACTGGTTTAACACGTTTTTTAAACCACACATACACTTTGTGTATGCATGCTGTTTTCTTACAGGGGACGAACTGGCGAACTACCTGTTATCTGTCCAGGGTCTAGACATCTGGTGGGGCGCGAAAAATCTATAAACAATAAATGTCACATGACCAGATGAGGTAACTTTTCAGGTCGACGTAGGTATTGCACATAGTTTATCGCTCTCATAACCGTGGAAATCCAAAAGTTTTCTATCTATTTCGCACTGACAGGATTTTAACCCAAGATAGTTTCTAGTGAAAAGGTGCTTACACTCAGAGCCATGTATTTAGAATTAGCCAGCTCATAGTACATTTCCACCCTATCCTTATTACGGGTTAACATTTTGGTCATTTTGGTTGGCCAACAATATTTTAAGACTACAATGACAGAACACATTTCCCCAAATTTGATATGAAAAAAATAAATAATTGGTATTGATGAACAATGGCAAGGCTGCTATGGTATTTTCAGTTACATTATTGTCAATAAAAACGGTTTACACGTTTGTTTTTTGTAAGAAATATATGGAACGACAACCGAATAAAAAACCATTAGCCATCATGCATTGCTTAAATTCATTATATTCTGAATAGTCTGTTCAGAAAAACGGAAAACAGTACATATAGGCATACAACTACAATGTTTGAATAAAGATTAAATAAAGACAAAATATAAATATATTCATAACGTAAAGAAATTGGGGGAATTGTAGACTAGGATCCGGAAAAAAATGTGTCCTTTTATAACGCATTTCTTGCAATTCTACATAATTTGACATGACTGAATCTTTTTTATTACCTCACAAATGATCGAAATGACAGGCTACTTTGACACTGACAAACTGAGAATCTGAGATCAATAAAAACGACATTGTTTTGAATCCAGGCCTAAGTGGGTGAAGACACACATATTGTACAATATAAGGAGGAAATTATATTCCTAAAAAAAACTTTCCAGTTTCACTGACTCACCCGATGAGGTGCAACTCACTCACCAGCGACCGCCGATGTGCTCGTGCCAAAAGCCTATCTCTCGCTTGTTTTAGATAACTTTGTAAAACAATGCTGTTCTCTCAATAGGCCTATTTGGAAGATACAATATTTACGTAGCCTACAGACAGATTAGTATTCTCTTTTCAGCAGGAGCCATTTGCTATCCAACCTGTGTTTTCCCGCGATTGTAATTGAAATATTGCAAAAGGCTGTTTTGGCTGCATGCTGTTCAATGACAGATTTGAAGCGCGTTCCCGACTCGGCTATAATTTGTAATTGGGCTACACACAATCCACAGCTAGGCTATGAAAAAAAACTATTAATACTCTGTGGCTAAATTATAGGTCTACTCCTGGTGTAGTATTCAGAGTTATTTCATTTTAGTGAATCTCACTGTAGTTATGTGAGAGATTCAGGCGCCCTTCTCTCTGACACAACAGTAATGGCCACGCTTGGTCAGTCTTTAGGCTAGCCTACAATGTTGCACAAACCATAAACCCGGCCAGCCAAACACAAATCAATTAGAATACCAGGCACGTTTTCACATTACGTTTATTAGGAGGCAGGAGAATTACAGAGGAGGCAACTCGAATTAACATTGATCGCTTTTAACCTGAAAAACCGAAGTAGGGTCTCCGCTCAGGCGTCTTGTTTTTTTCTACGCCTGCTATGTTAGGTTAGGTGAGTGGTTGAACTGATGGTTTCATTGGAAGGGTGAGTTATTCTGCACTAAGGTAATTTCCACATAAGCAAATCATTAAAATCGTTGAACGTTTATGATTTCCCAGTTTTTTTTATGATGGGAGGAGTCAAGCAAATTACCAAATAATCTCAGAAAAATCATTTTGAATAATTTTGATGGATTGACAGTACTGAGGATGCATTGTTTTGGGGCCAATGAAAACACCTGGCGTCAGATCACGTCTGTTCGTTCTCTGGTCTGTCAAATCGGTTGGTAAAATTCTGAACATGAGCCTGTTTTACAACGACAGTTTTGATAATTTAATGAAATTATAATTGAAGACTACTTAAATACACGTCTATACATCTATTCAGATAGTTGTCAAATATTTAATTGATACAATTATAAGGGTGGTGAAAGATAAACGTTTCTGGCTAACTAACTTTAGCTAGCCATTGATACTTTGCTACTCTAGCTAGCAAGCTAAAGAAAATACTAAAAAGTATCTCTGAGCTAGCTAACATCTGCTAACTTAGCTAGCTAACGTTACTGCATAGTTGAATGTTTAGAAACTCATTTTTAAGTTGACTAAATAGTCACATTTCTACTAGCTAGCTATAATTCAAAATGTCAGTGAAAATAAGTGTAGCTCGCGCGGTAGTAGTTGTATTTTGGATCTCATGTGAAGTGAGTTGACATAGAGTAGCGAGCGTTGCTATGAGATGCGGGAGGTGAATTGATCAATCAGAGCGGGAAAAGTAGCTTGTTAGCTAAATCAATGGGCTGATGTCTGGCTAACGTTAGCCTCTTCCTCGGTAAACAGACAAATAGCTAGCTTTGTTGAATTTGAAACTAGTTGTGTTATTGTTCAAGCCTGACATTAATAATCTGTTTCTCTCCTCAACAGGAATGTCGATGTCTTTGGCTTGTAAAACCATTCATATGTCACCTGCACCTGGGCAGTACAACCCAGATCCTGTCGAGTTGATCGCAAGCCAAAATGGGTGTGTTCCAAACAATCAAGGCCAGATTTTGGGCACTGAGCTCAACCTGATGGAGATGACAGAAGTGGAGTACACCCATCTTCAGCACATCATCCAGTCACACATGGAGGCACAGGTTTCTGATCCAGAGGGATCTGGAGATACCCGGTTCAACACTACCATATTTACTGTGGGCAGCCCCGCACCCCAACCGATGACCACAAACTGTGAGGCTGAATACCCAACAAGGTCTCCCCAGAACTCCCCACCTGATGCCACATCAACTTCAAATGATGAGCAGCAGTACGCCCTCGGCAGCTCGAACCAGAGTGGACATGTTGACATCCAGGAAATTAAAATGGTACAGGTCAGCGACGGGAACGTTATATCTGGAGAAAGGACACCCACCACTTGCGGAGAAGTCCTCGGCTCCGTGTTGGCTAAAGTCAGGAGTGCAGTGGATGCAACCGGGGAATGTGGCTTTGAAGCATACGACAACGGTAGCGCACAGCTACTGTCCAGGCCAAATCCACCCGCCCGAGTTCGCTTGGAGAAGAGGTTCAACTGCACCCCCAGAGAACAGGACGCGCAATCAGCTGCTCTTAGCAAGTACGTTTTTATCCCTCAATTTTGAGTGATGATAATGTATACTTTGTTTATAGCTGTACATTCTCTACAGGACTAAAAACACGTTTGTCTTTCTGCTACAGTGTTTTGACAATGCTACATCAGTCCAATGAGGCGCAAGAAGCAGCAGTCCATCCACAACTGCAGAAGTGGGTGAGGTCAGATCGGGGCTACCCAATTGAGGTGTCATACCCATATGGAAGCATGTTCAACCCCATCGCTGGCACCCGTCAAGTATGAGCAACATACTACTGATGTTACTAATAAATCGAGATGTAATTGTTTTCTATTGTTACGAGGAAGACATTCAGTGCTATGTTTTAACAAGTCTTCTATTCCTAGGGGTTTGGGAATGTCCTTCAAAATCTTGAACCCAATAAGCATCAAGGGTTGATCATTCCAAAGAACTTCACATTCAGCTACCGGCAAGACAAGATGACTGACAAAGTGCCATGCGTCAACCGCCCCAACCCAACAGAGGAGCAACTTTGGGTGAAGGTGGAAGGTATGTACGTGTCAGTATGTTCACTGTTTAGCTTGATTTTGAGAGCACTCATAACAAAACTGCATGTACATTCTCTCTCTATCTCAGTATGTCTCATTTGTTTATCTTTTCCAAATTCAGCATGCTTCTCCAAATTCAGCATGCTTCTCATGGCTATGTCATGTACTGTAGTATTGCTGAACAAAACATCTGTTTTTTCGAACTCTTAACACCCTCTGTATCTCTTTCAGATGATGCTCTGGCGAGGCCTGCACCCACTGCTAAACTTGGTAGGACCTGTGGCCCCCGTATTGTCAAGGCCCCCCCCGGTGTCGTCCCAGACTCAGCGGCAGGAAGAGCAGCTGGAGGAGCAGGCACCAGAAAGAGAGTAGGACCTCCAGTGGAAAGTAGCCAGCGCAGAGAGAGGCACAACAGCAAGGAGCGGGAACGCAGGTAATCAGATACACACTTGTGCGTACTGTCACACTCAGACACACAAACTGTTTACTCTTGATCATTAACATTCAGACCCAAAATGCACAGCATACTAAACCTTAACCATAAAAGAGCAAACTTAGTACACACCTCAAACCTTTTACTTGGGTATAGGAGGAGGATTCGCATCTGCTGTGATGAGCTTAATGTGCTGGCGCCGTTCTGCAACAATGAGACTGATAAAGCCACCACCCTGCAATGGACCACCGCTTTCCTCAAGTACATCCGAGAGGTGTATGGGGACTCCATTAAACAGGTGAGTGCCTGACTTAAGTTGATAGGCCCTATATGGTATGATCTCATCAACAGCAGGGCTCGACATTAACGCTTGACCTCTTGTCCGGGACAAGTCAAAGAAAAATAGTTGATCAAGAAGAATATACATTTCAAACAATTAATCCGATCAGAGGCCAAAATTGGAATAATATTTTTTTTTAAATCATGTACATAAATAAGAAAGTGTATGTCAAAGTGTAGGTGATATGCATATTGGCTACAACCTCATGTCCAAACCGATACTGACATGAGGGAGGCGCCAGAAAATGTAGCCAAACTTTAATGAGACTTTTAATTACATAAATATAGGCTAAACGCCAGTCATGTTTGACAATTATAATGAAGGATAATTAACATTAACGTCTAAAGGATTGATTCTGTTGAAATACTCGCGGCATGGTTCATTCAGATCAAATGGTCACAGGACCGGAGAGTGAAGGACCGTGCCTGTTGCGCACCGCACATCACCCACTCTGAATCTGAGCAGAGGCGGTCAGCATTTTGAAACTATTTACCCATAAACTTAATTGTTTAAAACCTGGAAGTTTTATGTCATTTTATGAAGCATGTCTTACCTTGTTTACAACCATAGAAATGTTGAGGGAATTATTTTATAAACACTTAATATGCTGTTGAAACCAGCATTTTTCTCATGTTCTATTGGTTTTCAAATCAACTTAATTTTATTGTCCAGCAGCCAAAGGCACAATCCTAGTCATATACAGTGCATTCGGAAAGTATTCAGACCCCTTGACTTTTTCCACATTTTGTTACATAACAGCCTTATTCTAAAATGTATTCAATTATTTTTCCCCCTCATCAATCTACACACACTAGCCCATAATGACAAAGCAAAAACAGGTTTTTAGACATTTTTGCAAATGTATTAAAAATAATAATTCATTTGACCTCATGGCTTAGTTTTTGCTCTGACATGCACTGTCAATTGTGGGACCTTATATAGACAGGTGTGTGCCTTTCCAAATCATGTCCAATCAATTGAATTTACCACAGGTGGACTCCAATCAAGTTGTAGAAACATCTCAAAGATGATCAATGGAAACAGGATGCACCTGAGCTCAATTTTGAGTCTCATAGCAAAGGGTCTGAATACGTATGCAAATACAATTAAAAGCGTCCCGTGACTGTGCACCTCCCATTTATACACACAAAATTGTTCATTTAATCCATTTTAGAATAAGGCTGTAACGTAACAAAATGTGGAAAAAGTCAAGGGGTCTGAATACTTTCCGAATGCCTTGTAAGTAACCCATGCTATTTGATGCATCTTTAGATCTCCCCTCTTTCTTAATTTCTAACTGATATTTTCATCCGCTCACACATGCGGTACGCTTTTGAGAATGGTGTTTTCCCGCAATTGCATTTTGGAACATTCCTGCGTAGCCTACAGCCAAGTGCGCATCGTTGAGCTTATAATATGAAGAAATAAAACTTTATCCGCATTTTAAGATAAATGGTCTTATCTCTTACATCAGCCTCATTGTAGGGCTAGGTGATATGACCTACAAATCATAGATATCTTTTCTTTCAAACTTATGGGCGATTTACGATATCTCTATTTATTTTTCTTTAAATAAGCTTTGTTCTACAATTAAAGGTAAAATACACTGCATTTGAAACAGTCAGCAATAATCTAATGAATTCAGGGCCTTCCACAATCATAAGACCCATTAATAATGTAATTCATTTATCCTAAGAAATGTACCCTGCTTTTTTGCAATAATCACTGATCTGGTTTTCAAGACAGTCTATGAAAATGCAGTTTTTGTTACAAATTTAACCAGAACCATGCATAATGCACATTCACTAATAATGACCAACTTCTGGTAGCAGGCATTATAGAAAATGAACACAGGTCTCATAAGCAATCTCTCAAGCATAAGCCCACGTGCTAGTGAGTAGCCAGCTAATCTTGATATTTAAAGTCTAGCCAACTTGGATCTAGTATTTGCTAGCTAACAAGGTAAAACAGTTTAATTGTTATGAACGCACCCTTCTGTCCTCAAACTGTTTGAACAGCATGCTAGCCTGTCCACTTTGTTCAGATGTTGAAATCAAGTGGCCTACCTTATTTCTCAGAATGAGAACGAGTTGGCAATTCCTTTATATAATTGTTTTTTATTCTCACATTTATAAAAACAGACTAGATAGCTAGTATAACAGTCTGGCTAAAATGCTGCTAATGCCGTGCGCAACAAAAACGGAGCATTCATTTTCCAGAATCAATGTTCATTCATACTCTGGGGGGGACAAGTGACTTGAGCTTTTGGACAGGTAAAAAATCTGTCCCACTTGAGTCTAAAAAAGTGAATGTCAAGCCCTGAACATACATATTATTGTGTCATGCTGCTGTAGTGTCCTGAGGTACCATAGAGCAGGGTTTCCCAAACTCCGTCCTGGTGCCCCCCCTTGGTGCACATTTTGGTTTTTGCCCTAGCACTACACAGCGGATTAAAATAATCAAAGCTTGATGATTAGTTGGTTATTTGAATCCGCTGTGTAGTGCTAGGGCAAAACACAAAACATACAACTAGGAGGCCCCAGGACAGAGTTTGGGAAACCCTGCCAAAGAGTGCTATTCTCCTGTGGCGACTTTCTCCTCTCCCTCAGGATTTCCAGAGCACGTTCTGTGGTAAGACTGGTCAGCGGATCAAGCCTAGCAGTGCCTCAGGCCAGGTCATGGTCCGCCAGGAGACCGCAGAGCCACCAAGCGACCCACAGGCATCGGAGCAATGAAACATCCTCTTTAGCCGGGTGCACACTACACGATTTTGGCCACGATTTAGCTGTCCCAGACAAGTTTTTGAGATCGGAGACAAAATCCCCATGTCGTTGCCTACTCGGGGCGCGCGGCCATCACCGACGCTCGTTTAATGTGAGTGGGTCAAAGACGCAATCTGAGGGCTACCGATCTCATCTTTGAGCAGTCCCAGACGTCCCAATATTTTCAAACAGGTTTGGTTTTATCGGCACAAAATCTGCAAGGACAATCTCAAAAACTTGTCTGGGACAGCTAAATCGAAGCCAAAATCATGTAGTGTACACCAGGCTTTAGAGTTACTACACCTATTTAATAATTATTCTATTTATTATAAAATTATTTTACCCAAGAGTAGCTCTACTCCCATCAGGTTTGGCTTTGGAATTTTAGCTGTCAGAAAAGCATCAGGTATTGCCAAAGACACACATCCATTTGATTGTTTTTTGCAGCAAGAAAAATTAGTTAGGTGTTCTGTTTATTCCTTTATCTCAACACCTTGAAATATTATTGTACCTCAATGTGATTATTAACCCCCTTAACAGGGCATGTACTCAAACATGTAATTTTCCATCTTCATCATTTGGCCATCATCTTTTCTCAGATTTCCTCAATTTTATTTTGATATAAAATGGCTTGATAGTTCAACTGATATTTCAAATGAGCTTCACTTCCAAACCTCATGAATAACAATAATTAAAACGGGGGAAGGTTTTACATTTTGGACCATGTAAGTAACATACCAACATTTTGACTGAGGGTCTGGGTTATACAATGCAAGTTTAACTGCACTACAGGGCTCCTATAGAGCAGGTTACTGTGGAAGGAAGGAGATATGTTTTATATACAACTTTACATAATTGTGATTCTGAGGCAACAAACCTTTTTCAACAAAAAAAAGAGTGCTTTACTGAATGCCGTGCACAGGTGGCACTGTTTCTCTAGCATAGAAGAGTTGATGAAAATGTGATCCCCTCACTAGATTACAGTTGAGTTATTCTTAATCGTATGTGCATCTTTGAAATGTAATATATTTTTACTATATTTTTTTGTGTTTTATACAGGTTTGTTTAGTACTCCTGGCAGCAGTAAATACACTAAATGTATATTGTTCAATGATGCTTCACTCTGTATATACAACTCTGTTCAAAAGTTGTTTTGTATGTTATTGTGACTGTTTTTCATATTACCCTACTTATATTGGAAATTTGAAAAATAAATGTGACAATTTACTTGTTTTTGGTTAGTGTTTATCTACTGATTGTTTTAGTGCATTAACATTCAGTTGGTTAACTTGATATGTAGAAAAGAGTAATGTTTTACTGAAAAGTGGCTTTATTTGTTTTTTCTTACAACATTGTGCTGTAGCATCTTACTGTACATACAACAGTCACCCACAAATAATAAATAGTATTTAAAGTCATGTATATTTAATAGTTACAGCACCGGTACATAGTGGATGTGGTCATTACAAAATAAAAAAGATAAAGAACACATTGTTAATGAGTTATTCTACAATTACAATTTCTGATGCATCCACAACATTTTTTATTTTCAAAACATATTGGAAGGGGAGATTTTAAAATCAAACATGTAATCATGAAAAGTGAAACAAAAGAGAGAAAAAAAGAAACTGACAACAATAAAACTTTACAAACTGCTTTTAAAAAAAAACGAGTCTAGCAAGAGTTGTAAAATACTGTGGTTGCATCAATATACAAAATATCTGGGCACTTAGGTTTCTTCATTGCCTGTTACGGTACACACAAAGCTCCTTGGCAGAGACTTCACTTTGCTCACTGGCACATATCTTCCTATTTTACATTTCGTAAGCTTGTCCTGTGCGGTAACACCCGCGGTCTAAGCAGAAAGGACCTTGACACATACACATTCACTGCAAGGACAATCACAGTTGTAGTGTTTTGGAGAGTTATCTTCCATGGGGGGGTGGGGGGGGGGGGATGTGACGCAAGATGATAAGGGAGTGAAAGACCATACAGTGAGGGAAAAAAGTATTTGATCCCCTACTGATTTTGTACGTTTGCCCACTGACAAAGACATGATCAGTCTATAATTTTAATGGTAGGTTTATTTGAACAGTGAGAGACAGAATAACAACAACAAAATCCAGAAAAATGCATGTCAGAAATATTATAAATTGATTTGCATTTTAATGAGGGAAATAAGTATTTGACCCCTCTGCAAAACATGACTTAGTACTTGGTGGCAAAACCCTTGTTGGCAATCACAGAGGTCAGATGTTTCTTGTAGTTGGCCACCGGGTTTGCACACATCTCATGAGGCATTTTGTCCCACTCCTCTCTGCAGATCTTCTCCAAGTCATAAAGGTTTCGAGGCTGACGTTTGGCAACTCGAACCTTCAGCTCCCTCCACAGAATTTCTATGGGATTAAGGTCTGGAGACTGGCTAGGCCACTCCAGGACCTTAATGTGCCTCTTCTTGAGCCACTCCTTTGTTGCCTTGGCCGTGTGTTTTGGGTCATTGTCATGCTGGAATACCCATCCACAACCCATTTTCAATGCCCTGGCTGAGGGAAGGAGGTTCTCACCCAAGATTTGACGGTACATGGCCCCGTCCATCGTCCCTTTGATGCGGTGAAGTTGTCCTGTCCCCTTAGCAGAAAAACACCCCCAAAGCATAATGTTTCCACCTCCATGTTTGACGGTGAGATGGTGTTCTTGGGGTCATAGGCAGCATTCCTCCTCCTCCAAACACAGTGAGTTGAGTTGATGGCAAAGAGCTCGATTTTGGTCTCATCTGACCACAACACTTTCACCCAGTTCTCCTCTGAATAATTTAGATGTTCATTGGCAAACTTCAGATGGGCCTGTATATGTGCTTTCTTGAGCAGGGGGACCTTGCGGGCGCTGCAGAATTTCTGTCCTTCACGGTGTAGTGTGTTACCAATTGTTTTCTTGGTGACTATGGTCCCAGCTGCCTTGAGATCCTTGACAAGATCCTCCTGTGTAGTTCTGGGCTGATTCCTCACCGTTCTCATGATCATTGCAACTCCACGAGGTGAGATCTTGCATGGAGCCCCAGGCCGAGGGAGATTGACAGTTATTTTGTGTTTCTTCCATTTGCGAATAATCACACCAACTGTTGTAACCTTCTCACCAAGCTGCTTGGCGATGGTCTTGTAGCCCATTCCAGCCTTGTTTAGGTCTACAATCTTGTCCCTGACATCATTGGAGAGCTCTTTGGTCTTGGCCATTGTGGAGAGTTTGGAATCTGATTGATTGATTGCTTCTGTGGACAGGCGTCTTTTATACAGGTAACAAGCTGAGATTAGGAGCACTCCCTTTAAGAGTGTGCTCCTAATCTCAGCTCGTTACCTGTATAAAAGACACCTGGGAGCCAGAAATCTTTCTGATTGAGAGAGGGTCAAATACTTATTTCCCTCATTAAAATGCAAATCAATTTATAAAATTTTTGACATGCGTTTTTCTGGATTTTGTTGTTGTTATTATGTCTCTCACAGTTCAAATAAACCTACCATTCAAAGTATAGACTGATCATGTCTTTGTCAGTTGGCAAATGTACAAAATCAGCAGGGGATCAAATACTTTTTTCCCTCACTGTAAGTACATATTTTTACAAACAAATGGTTTTGAAAAATAATGGCCTATAAGCACTTTTCCAGTAAAGTTGTTTTTCAGTCTTTTTTATTTTCATTAAATTGTTATTCACTTTTGATGGTATTTGGAGCAATGCAGGTGTTTTCTAGCGCTCTTGTGAAATGTTTACTCAGCTTTGTCCACTTCATAGATGGGTGGAGTCTTGATTTTTAGTCTCTCAGTTTGTTTCTTTGTTTTCCCAAACTGCTGTTTTCCTTCTTTTAACACTTGGGATGTTCTTCTCTTCCTCAAAATAAATCTCACATCTGTTGTTACTGTTCCTGTCTTGTTTTAAATACATTAAAGAGGACATTATGTGACTCCTTTCTCTCCTCTCCTCCTCCTCTTCCTCCTCTTTTCTCCTCCCAGGGGTTGCTGCTTACGGGATGAGGGAAGTCATGTTTAATGGTTCTTGGGATTGGAGGTTTTCCCATGGACATTTGCCCCCTGGCAGGCAGTAGTGTCACAGATTCCTGGGGAGCCCGAGTGCCCTGTTCTTCCTGTCCTACCTGCCTCTCCGGGCTCTCCTGGATCTCCTGGGGATCCGTCACGCCCGTCTTTGACGATTCCAAATACTCCTGGGATACCTATGGGCACAGAAACAGTATAGGGAATGAGCCAAGTCTCCTAACAAGTACGCACTGATTCAAACACAGAGGGGAAACCTGCACTACTCTCAAATATAAGCTCAGATGTCCCACAAAGAAGGGTTTCGTGGCAAAGACAGTATACTGATACAACTCCCCTTGGCTACCCTTTAACTTTTATCATTCTAGCCCAAACCACACTCACTGTGAATGCACAGTGAATAAACTGTCATACCTTGGTATCCTTGGTCTCCAATGGGCCCTTCGATGGCTTTTCCGATGGGTCCCTTGTCACCCTGTTCACCAAGATCACCTGTGGAAGAGACGGAAAACAATGTTACAAAAAAAAGGCAATCTATTGGCTATGAGAACTGCAATATGCCCAACATATTAGAGATGGTCACCCCTGTCTGTACACTTCTAATGAGACTTACAGTACGTTCTGTGCTGCAAAGTAAGTCCATTGCTCTGTGCTGATCACATGGGCAGACATTTTGAGCTGTATGTTTCTCGGCATGGCCCTGTGCATCTCCTGCTACTTACCTCTGGGACCGGGGTCTCCTAGGTCTCCAGGCAGTCCTCTGTAGCCAGGAGGTCCACGGGAGCCGGGGTGACCGATAGACCCGGTCTCGCCTGGCTTCCCTGGAGGTCCGGCAGCGCCGGGGCGACCCACTTGGCCAGGGGACAGGGGTCTTCTGAGGTTGGCAGCCAGCTGTGCAATCTGATCTGAGAGAGAGAGGACAGAGGAACAGAAATTTGCAAACATATTCACTTTTTGGTAATTTAAAGAAAGACAAGGACACTACACCCTACAGCCCTTTTGATCTCGAAAATCCTCACCATCAATCATAGATCCACACAATTCTCTGATGTGCTGTTCGCTTGCCAGTTTACCCTGAAAACAGAGGCAGAGAAGACAGACATTTCATTCAGCAGGTGTCATCAATGACAGTTCAGTCAATCTGAGGCATTCTCGGCGCAGGGACACCAACTTGCCAAGTTTACAGGGATCGAAGTACAGCATTACCCATAGTTACTCAGAGGTTACTCACGGGAACACCAATCTTGCCAGCGATTCCGGGCAGACCCTGTTCACCCTGAAAGCCCATGAGGCCTGGTTTCCCAGGAACCCCTCTGGCTCCGAGCTCTCCCTGTGGTCCCACCACGCCCTTGGGTCCCAGCTCTCCACGCTTCCCAGACTGTAAGCACACAAAAAAACGAAATCAAATGAACAGCTCTTGTGTTCACTCAGTAAATGTCAAACAGAGTTAAATTCAGTGGAGGTGTTCAGTTGTGAGGGAAGAAAGTGTAGCATCTTGATCTGAGGGAATCAGACAGCTCAATTGTTGCTGGTTCAGTAGTTAATTTGAGGTAATTTGTTCCCAGAATAAGAAACAACCTGACTTGTCAAAGGGCTTTCGAAAAGTAAACACTGTAGTTGTGTAGCTTGAGAACATCAGTGTGGGGGTGTACATATGTCTCACTTGATAATTAATTTAATGAACAAAACAACAATTCCTAAGTGTGAGAGTTGCTGTAGCTAGCATCAGTTAGCGTTAGCGAGCCACATCAGTGTCTTGGCTGTAATTGCATTAATTGTGAGCTAAACTGTGCTGCAGCTTAGCATGGCTCCCTTCTCCCCTGTGGGGATGGCAGATAGTGGGCTAAGAAATCGTACAGCAGGCTAATCTATCCAGCTAATCCTGGAATGTGAGCTGGGATCCCGTGCAATTAGTTAGTGTGTTGCAGTCTGGCCTTGGCACCAGCACTTAGTGCCAACACCAAATCTCTGGCAACACATCAGAGAGAAAAGATAGAGAGGGGAGAGAGACCATAATTAGGGAAAGAGCAGCTAAAGATGTTGTGTAAGATAGTGATAAAGGGGACAATGATAGACTGGTCTAGTATGCCCAACTAAGTAGGGTTTTTGACTGTACGCCTAGTGAATATGATCACAATCGTTGTGGTCGTTATCTAGAGGGACAAACCTGCCAGTAAAATATGTGTCAATGAATGGAGTTGGGATCCAAGACCTAGGGATCTATTCAATCAGGTCCGCTTTAGCAGACATCTGCATAGTTGTTGTTTTGACGGTGTCGGAGGTGGAACTGAGTTAGAGCTGTCAAATCCACAAGTGGCTCCCACTGCACGGAGTTGCAGTAACAGAAATCCCATGTAGCCTTGTTTACAAGTTGGAACACTGGAATGTGAGATGTAATCTACACCTCCATTAGGATGATAGAAATCCTCATTATTTTGTTGAATGATTTTTCAATTTGAGCGTCATTATTTATATATAGCTTACATTTTCTCATTCTGAACTTCTAACTGGAGTGGGGCTGGTGTTGCTTTGTGACAATGATCACAAGCGCAGCTGCTCACCGATTTGACCGCTCCAACACAGTTCCACCTCTGACTCCACCAAAACATCCACAATGCGGGTGTCTGCTATCGCCGGTTAATGGTTGATCTGATTGAATTTAGGCCCTAAACATATTGTGGTTGTCAAACATACATTCAACACTGACAAGGATTCGCTCCACAGTTTGGATAAAGATATTATTACTCACCTCTCCTTTTTGGCCAACTGGACCAAATGGACCCTGAAAATGAGCAAAACATTGTTGACAAATAAGACAAAAGAAATGGGATGACACACGTTTTCATGCTAATTGAATGTATATTAATTTGACTAAACTTAAAATATGAAAGATAACTTACAGGTTCTCCATTTTCCCCGGGCAAACCATCAGCTCCTGCCACGCCCTGAACAGAAAACAAAATAACAATTTGTTTATGCTACTTAGTGGTTATAATTGTTCCTTTTGCTTTTCAAGCCTGAGTGAATATTTGAATAACAATAATTGGGTGTGCATGGAAGCTTGCATAGAAAATATCATGTCCATGTTTCGTTATGTACCTAGAAAAGTCAAATACACACAAATATACTTCCATAATGAGCCCATAAAACCATATTCCCACCTCTTTAACCTTTCCCATTATCAATGGCAATGGCAAGATTCTCTCTGAACCCTTTAAGAGACAGGGTAACCCCATGAGCACACTGAATGAAGACAGTGGGAAGGGGGTTTCTATGGTAATATAATTATTTGACCCCTACTGTAGGAAGCTACAAGTGAAGTACATGTGTACTTACCATGTCTCCTTTAGGGCCTGATGCTCCGACTGGACCCTGCAGGAGAAACAGAATGAGAGCGAGAGAGAGAGAGAGAGAGAGAGAGGGGAATAAAAGCCAGTGGTTGTGGAGACCAGAAGCAGAGGGCATTGCTCCATAGATGGCAGACTGTGTGCGCTGAGTGAGATGCAGGGAGGGATGGAGGGAGGTGTGCTGGGTTGTGGAGTGGGGCAGCCCAGGAGCTGGATAAAGCCAGGCTTTGTTCTGCCCTCGGCTCCTGAACAGGAGGCTGCTTTCTTACCTCTCTCCTGGGTACAGTATGAATACACACCACTAGGGCTGGAGTGAGTGAGCCCACACTGCCCAGGTTATGACTATATACTGCTCTGATCTAAATGGGTGTGGCAGGAGGAGCTATGTGTGTGCATGTTTGTGTGTAGTCCAATATTGGGTTAGTTGGTCAATAACTCTAATCTGTCTTTAAAGGCATAGCTACAAATAAAAGGCCTTGTTTATTCCCAGAAGGACATCAGTGGAGTGAATAGGGATGCTTGGGCTTGGAACCAGATGGTGAACTGTTCAAATCCCCGGGGTGGACATCACTGTTGGTCACTTCAGCGGTCGTTGGCCAGCAACCATTCTGTTCGGGGTCATACTCACCCTCTCACCAAATCCGCCGCGGATTCCGGTTGGTCCGGGAAGACCAGGGTCCCCCAGAGCCCCCTTTATTCCCTGTTGAACATGACATAGACACCATCAGAAGACCTCCAACACATGACACAGAATTTCATTCAGGGATTGTCCAGAAAGGATGTATCCCATCATGCCACTGACCTGGAAGCCTTTGCTGCCCTGAACCCCGATGTTGCCCACTGGTCCGATGCCCCCCTGGGAAATACATAACATTATGTTAGCATAACAAGAAGTACATGAGGGCCTGCAGACACAGGAAGTACATTTCCGTTTTGGAAACCCTGGTGTAGAGCATGATAATCACTTTTATATCCTGGCTGTATCCTGCATTCCCTCCCTCTAGGGTTCTGATAGGGAACCAAAGACAAAACCCCCTCTGTGTCTCTGACCCTCTTTCATCCATCCCTCTTTGATACATTCCTGTCTTCCCCACTGCCTCCATCTAACTGGAGGGGAATAGCTATACACAGTTTATTAGGTACACCCCTCTAGTACTGAGTCAGACCCCACTTTGCCTCCAGAACAGCCTGAATTCTTCGGGGCACGGAAACGTTGCTCAATTGGTATCAAGGGACCTAACGTGTGCCAAGAAAACATTCCCCACACCATTACACCACTGCCACCAGCCTGTACCATCGACACCAGGCAGGATGGGGCCATGGACTCATGCTGCTTATGCCAAATCCTGACTCTGCCATCAGCATGACGCAACAGGATTCGTCGGACCAGGCAATGTTTTTCTACTCCTCAATTGTCCAGTGTTGGTGATTGCGTGCCCACTGGTTCCGCTTCTTCTTGTTTAGGAGTGTAACCCGGTGTGGTCGTCTGCTGCAATAGCCCATCCGTGACAAGGACCGATGAGTTGTGCGTTCCAAGATGCCGTTCTGCACGCCACTGTTGTACTGCGCCGTTATTTGCCTGTTTGTGGCTCACCTGTTAGCTTGCACGATTCTTGCCATTCTCCTTCGACCTCTCATCAACAAGCTAGCGCTGACTGGTTGCTTTTTGTTTGGCACACCATTCTCAGGAAACCCTAGACACTGTCGTGCGTGAATTCTAAAATTCTAAAATACAGGAACCGGTGCGCCTGGCACCGATGATCATACCACGCTCAGGTCACTTATTTTGCCCATTCTAACGTTCAATCGAACAGTAAGTGAATGCCTCGATGCCTGTCTGCCTCGATGCCTGTTTGGATTTGAGATCAAATGTTTCATATGATGCGACAGTACAGAATGTCACCTTTTATTTGAGGGTATTTTCATACTGTTTTACCGTTTCCATTTTAGTCTTATCCAGAGCAATTAGGGTTAAGTGCCTTGCTCAAGGCTCAGGGATTCGAACCAGATAATCTCTTAACTCCTGTTATTGGTAATGGTGAGATGCTAGCATTTTTTGGGGGGGTATGATCTTTGTTCCTCTGTACCTTTCTCACTCATGTTGTACGTTGCTTTCCAACAGTCTCCTAGTTAATCACAAACTATTGTGTTTTAACCATTGAACTAATAAGGGAAGTTTTCATCCTTATCCTCTCTCAATCAACATACTGTATATTCAAACAAGCAATAACATGATGGATAAAACGTGTAACACCATCTTATTTCACTTGCTAATGTCCACATGAAAACAATACAAGTAATCCAGCAATTTATGATTGATATTTTATGGGCAAGAAGCTTTGGAACTGAAAATGAATGTCACATCCAAACTTTACGGAAAGAGTTGAGTGTTGTTGGCAGTTGAAATCCTTCTAATAATGCCTCTGTGCTCTTGTTTCATTTCAGCCTTGTTGTAAGCATAATGGGAGAGAATGAGAGAGCAGCAGACTCATCAATAGGTAATGTGGTAATACACTACATGAAAGTAGGTGGACACCTGCTCGTCAAACATTTCATTCCAAAATCATGGGCATTAATATGGAGTTGGTCCCCCCTTTGCTGCTATACTAGCCTCCACTCTTCTGGGAAGGCTTTCCACTAGATGTTGGACTATTGCTGCGGGGACTTGCTTCCATTCAGCCACAAGAGCATTAGTGAGGTCAGACACTGATGTTGGGCGATTAGGCCTGGCTCGCAATCGGCGTTCCAATTCATCCCAAAGGTGTTTGACGGGTTGAGGTCAGGGCTCTGTGCAGGCCAGTCAAGTTCTTCCAGACCGATCTCGACAAATCATTTCTGTATGGACCTCGCTTTGTGCACGGGGGCATAGTCATGCTGAAACAGGAAAGGGCCTTCCCCAAACTGTTGCCACAAAGTTGGAAGCCCAGAATCGTCTAGTATGTCATTGTATGTCATTGTATGCTGTAGCGTTAAGATTTCCCTTCACTGGAACTAAGGGGCCTAACCCAAACCTTGAGAAACAGACCCAGACCATTATTACTCCTCCAACCAAACTTTACAGCTGGCACTATGCATTCGGGCACTATGGCATCCGCCAAACCCTGTCCGTCGGACTGCCAGATGGTGAAGCGTGATTCATCACTCCAGAGAACGCGTTTTCCACTGCTCCAGAGTCCAATGGCGGCGAGCTTTACACCACTCCAGCCGACGCTTGGCATTGCGCATGGTGATGCTCGGCCATGGAAACCCATTTCATGAAGCTCCTCACGAACAGTTCTTGTGATGACGTTGCTTCCTTAGGCAGTTTCCACTTCCCAATAACAGCACTTACAGTTGACCGGGGCAGCTCTAGCAGGGCAGATATTTGACGCTCTGTTTTGACCATACTTTCTAATGGTCAGGAAAAAAACTTTATTCTGCTATGTTGACTACTATTCTGATTGGTAATAAAACAAATAAAAACATGGTTTTATTGTCACACACACCAGATAGGCACAGTGAAATGTGTTGTTTTACAACAAATTAGGGTTAAGTGCCTTGCTCAAGGGCACAGCGACAGATTTTTCACCTTGTCGGCTCCAGGATTCAAACCAGTGACTTTTCGGTTACTTGCCGAACACTCTAACCAGTACACTACCTGCCGCCCTGGTACATGGCTCCACTCTACCTACTGCCATCTCAACAGGTGGATGCTGCCATGTTTCCATGGATACGGAATTGAACTTTGACCTAGACTACTTACAGCCACACCTCTGGGTCCCGCCTCGCCCCTCTCTCCTGGGATACCAATGTCGCCCTGTGGGAGGAGTCAGATGATGGTGCAGGCAGGTGAGAGGAGCTGATACACCACAACTGCATTGTAACAAAACAACCCACAACACAGACACCCACAAAATACCCCACTGCCCCAGAAGCCCATCAGATACATACAGGAATACCTGGCTCTCCAGACGGCCCTGCCTCTCCCATCTCTCCTGGGTTGCCCTGGGAAGGAAAGGGTTAACAGAAGGGTTATGTGGTGGCTTATCTTCACTGCCATTGGCTTAATGGTTCCTCTGATTGTATGATGTAATTTGTGACACCATTGTGTGTATTTCCTCTGAAAGTGTGATGTAATTTGTGACATTACTGTCTGTATGGTTCCAATGGGCAAGTTCTTGACAGATCTTACAACACCTGGATAGGTATTTTAAGTATTAGCTAACCACGTCATATGTTTTAGCAATCTGGTTTCCTGACGGCACAGTTGATGAAGTGCCACGCAATCATTGGTTGATGCATGCAACGTCTTAGCAGAGAACCTTTGATTGTAATTGATATCACATAATTGGTGACATCACTGTCTGTATGGTTTATCTGATTGTATGATACAATTTGTGACATCATTGGCTGTATGACATCACAGTACACATCTAAGACATCATTGTCTGTTTCTTTGATCCTATACTCCGAGTCGATATTCACGTAATAAGAATTAATCCCCCTTGACCACGGCCACAAATTGGGGAAAACAAACATTCTTTCCATTTGACCCCCATTGTAAAAGAGACTTCGTTGTCGATTTTTTGTTATACACAAAAAACTAAACATACCGAAAAGCTGCTGTGTTGTTCAATGTACATGTAACCAGGTCAAAAATCCCGACCTACGGTTCACAATGCTCCCACGTAGGGAAATAGAGGCGGTGAGAAGAGCCCTGTGGCTTCAGGCTATTCAGCATGGGAGAGTGGGAAATGTGGGGACCCGGTGTCCAAGTAGGCTACACGTAGCTATGTGTGTGGAAAACATTTAATCACAGGTAAGACATTTAACTTGTTTAGTACAGTCTGTTTGTAACGCCACTCACTACTTGTAGCTGTATAGTCCGTTTGTTTGTGTTGTTGGTCTTGGCTAGCTTAATATTCCGGTCGGCAACTAGCTAGCACTCACCCACTCAAGTGGCTGCTAGCATCATTATGAAAAGGGGCATGTGGGAAGCCCTACAATATTATGTTTTTCTAAGTAGTGAGAACGCTAGGGAGCAGGCAATGTTGAAAAGTAATCTTTAGACATGTTGTACTTTTCTTAAATGTAGTTTTGTAATTGACTAAAACAAGCAGACAACAAGAAAATTGCGTTTGAAAAAGGTCAAGATGTTGCCGTGAGCCAATGGAGTAACCTAGGTAACCACAGGTTGTTTTCCCCACAGGCGGGTTATATCTAATACCGACTGGGTCTATGATATCAGTTGTGACATCATTAGCTGTATGATTCCATCTTTTGATTGCATAATATCGTTGTGACCTCTGGCTTTATGACATCACTAAGAAAATAGCATAGATTTACATAGTTATTACTTCTAAACAAAAACACTTTTTTGTTCTCATATGCTTACAATGTTGTTTTGATTATTGCTTTTACAGTCACTAAAATTACATTTGGTTGTGATAGTTGCAAAATACCTATTTTGGATGCAGCAGTTGTGAGCTAGAATGCTATTGCTCATTGACATAGGCTGTAGCCAAAGAGCCATTTTACTGGTTGAAGTTGAAGTGTTTTAAAAAAAGTATAATGCAGTTGATTTACAACAATGACACAAACATTATATTAAGCAGGACATTCATACAAGCCTTACAATTCAATTATAATCAAAAAGTAGTGTGAAATGCACTCATAAGCAACATGTAAATGGAGGCTTTTTTTGCTGGCAGTCTATGAGAACTCCCCCATGTTTTCCCCCACGGTGTGGAAATAGTGAATAGCGACTTGCGGTTTAACCATATAATTACATATTAGAACTCCATAATTTAATATGATCTCTGCGGTGGTGATAACTATGATATCCTTCTCTTTATGGCCCCATTGTATACATCATATCCTTGTCTTTATGAAATCACTGTCTTCATGACCTGGTTATGCATTGTTGTCATACTCACAACTCCTCCTTTGGCTCCCTTTGTGCCAGCCTTTCCTTGTAAACCCTGAAACACAGACATAGAAACATGACTCTGGGGTAGTGTCCACAGTAGTACTATGATTCTATGGGACTTGGGCCTAGTAAACACACTGTGGGAGACTGAGTTAGATATGATTGTGTGGTCATTAGAATGTGTAAGAGAATTAGAGTGTGTGTGTTTAAGGGCATCTCCTAGTAGGATAAAGTGGGACAGATAATGGCCAACTGTACACAGTGGGACGCTAGATAATGGCATGCTTTACACAGCAGCTCCGGCTACGGGGAGGGAGACACACTGTGTTTGATACTCACAGGAAGGCCGTTGGGTCCTTTCTCACCGGGTACCCCATTCCGTCCGGCGTCGCCCTGGCAATGTAGAGAAACACTGTCACTATGACATCAGCCACACCCACTGTGGGCTCATGGGAAACGTCAGTAGAGCAGAGAGCATTTTGGGAGAAAAGGGCGCCACTTTACCTTCTCGCCGTCCAGTCCCTGGGTGCCATCTTTCCCATCTCTGCCAGGGATGCCCTGCGGAGGAGAGGAACACTCTGTTGGTCAGGGGTCCGAGATCTGCAATATCTGTTTTCATTAGAGATTTGCATTTCATTAGAGATGTGTATTTTAAGAGATTTGTATTTTAAGACTTACAGGCTCCCCTTTGGGACCTGCTCCCCCGGGAACTCCCTTTGGACCAATTTTGCCCTGTTGAGAAATGACAAGGAACAATGTTACATTACCTGAAATGAACAGTTTGTAGCGCAACATTAGATCCTTTACAATCCCTTGTACTCACACCATTTACCATTTACCATCACATGACTGTTTAGTCTGCTATTTCATTAGGGATTAGAGTTGCCTGCAAAGAGGATGTTCATTCAGACATGCAAATATCAATACAAAAATATACAGTATATGTGTATTATTTACTCACAATCTCTCCCTTTGGCCCTCTAAATCCCTCTGGTCCTTTCTCTCCAGCATCACCCTGGAATTATCAAATGACACACACAGAGCTTTTTATTGATGGGACCAATGGCAGACACTTAACACAATGACATAAACACCAGTGCCGAAGTGAGGTACGAGTTATACACTACTCAACAGATAGTACAAACAAGGAGAGACTCACTGTCTTGCCGATGACACCAGCAATACCAGGTTTGCCTCGGAAACCAGGTAAACCCTAAAAAGAGAAATGAAAGAGAGACAGTAGATGCATTACAATCAGGAAAACGGACAACGTTTCCACTGCAGCCTATTGAAATGCTGGTCTGTAAGTTCCAGACAGAAGACAGAGGTCTGAGACAACGACATTCAGAGGCGTGGTACTCACCCTGTCTCCTACTGCCCCCATCGGGCCCTGAAGTCCTCTCAAACCACGAGGACCCTGGGGAAAAAACACCACAGGATGGTTAAGAACCAATCAGAATCGATCACAACCACCATGAGAACCAATCAGAACAATCAACACTGCATAGCATTCACACATCAGGCCCAGGGCAGAAAGTAATGGACAATCTAAACAAACAGCCAACAGATAAAAATGGCTGTGTTTTGAGCCATATTAGGTGACATCCCTCACCTGCAGGCCCACAGTGCCGGGAATACCAGGAGGACCAGATGGGCCAGCATCACCCTGGGAGAGACAACAGGACACGCAGTTAACAACAGGTATTTCACATCTGGATTAACACTTCAGACTAGTAAATGTTTCTCCTCCCTGAGTTTCATTCTTATTGATCTCACCTTCTCTCCATCTTTCCCGAGCTCTCCCTTATCTCCTTTGTGACCTGTGTGACCCTAAATTAAGAGAGAGAGAGGATGGAAGGAAAGACAAAGAAGAAGCAGGGAAACATATTTAGAGAGGGATGGCGAGAGATATAGAGAAAGACAAAGAGGGGTAGATGATGAGAATGGGAGAGGGGGAGATACAACAGTTAGTTTTGGTGTCATGTTCCTGGGGGAAAGTGTCATTTGAAGAGCACACATGTCAGAGCTTTAAAAGTCACAATCAGTAAGGTAGAGCAACAATGTCCTGTACCCACCTTGAATCCAGGCATTCCTGGGGGTCCGGAGGGACCAGGAGGACAGATGGCAGGACACTATAGAGGGGAGAGTCAACACCGCATTAGGCAAAGGCATGTAGTAAATATAATGTCCCATTGCTGTTTAATGTTGCGCATAGCAATGCAGCACAGTACAGGGTTGATGTACTTCAATGTGTTGGGTCTGAAAAAATGTCCTGACACTTACCAGCAGATCTCCACTGCCATCAGGGAGAGCCCCAGGAAGACCCTTAGAGAGGTAGAGAATGAAGTTTAGATTGAAATATAAATGAATGTGTAACATTTCATCAGGCATGCCGACGGATGAATTATTTCTTTCTTTAAGCATTTCTTCACCCCACATCTGTGTGGCCATGCATATCCATCCCTGACTGATGGCAGCAATAGCAATTTCACTAAGGTGGAGAATCAACAGATAATGTAGACGTTCTGTACTTACTGGGGGTCCATCAGGGCCGGGAGGCCCAGGCAATCCTGCAAGGCCCTCAGGGCCCTGGGAGAGAGGCAAAGGAACACACAGGTTAGAGTCAATCAATCAACATGATTCATTTGCATATAAACTGTACCAAAATCACTGCATAGATTTACATTGCCCCTACCCTCATCATGTTAAACTAAAGGAAATCAAAGGTGACTATCCATTGCTGAACCTCTAATCAGCGTCTCTGATAAGAAGCTCAACTGAAATCATGCCTCATCACGATCACGCCAATCAGTCCTGGTTCTCTCTCCAGGGGTCTTTCCCCACTCCACTCCCAAGAGATGAGATCTTACGCTGGGGTAGCTCACTAACAAGGACCCCATCCACTCATGGAACGTTTGGATTCTCCCACTTGACAACTGTTAGCGGTCATTGATGCTTGAGTCTATCTGAGGTGTTTATGTAAAAAGGATTGGATTGGAGAGACATGCCTGTCTTGTCTGTCTCAGGGGTCTCTAGCCCTGGTCCTGGAGTGATACTGCTTCTGGTACTGCAGATTTTACTTGTCATTCAGTAGTTAAACATTTAACTTGCCAACTTGATTACTTCGTCATGAATTACCAGTGAGTCCACTAGATACCCAGTAGTGGCAGTCAAATAGGGCATTAAGTGTAAATTTCCCTGATTTCTGTCTGTTGTACATCTTTCTTAATTGGGATTGATTAATTAATTAATTGGTCTTAACACTCACTGCTGGTCCCTGTGGCCCGATTCCGCCCGCAAGCCCATTGGCTCCTGGTGGCCCCTGGAAACAATAGAAATGGGTTGGGTGAGAGCACACACACCCACACACACACACACACACACACACACACATGCATAACTATAAGAAGTCACATATAGACATGCGAAAAATATCTACGCACACACACATAAAAGCAAAGTGACAACATAAGAAAACTGTTTCTGATCATCTGTACTCACTGGAGCTCCTGGTCTCCCTCTGCCCTAAGGAAGACAGGGGAAGGCATATTAAGACATACATACACACCAGACAACTTATGAGCCATCGTGTCATAACAAGCTGATGTTATAATGGTTAAAATGTATAGGTGTAATTGAAGATGTGTGACAGTATACCGAATGTAAACACTAGGTATAGGTATGTTTGTTGTAGATAGACAGCTGTGTGTGTTTGTGTTATGTTATAACTGGGAACATTTGTGTGTGTGTCTTATAGGTAGGGCCCACCATTTTTCTTGACCATGTGACCCGACCAGGAAACACTCTGGGCCCTAGTTATGGATTTAGCTGTTGACAGGTGAGTGTGTGTAATCAACAATATCTCTATTTCTAGTGATCAGTCTGGTGTAATAGAGGTTATGAATATGGACCGGTGATATAGGCTACGTTGTTATCTATTGGTGGAAGATGTAACAGTACTTACAGGAGGTCCACCTGGCCCGGGAGGTCCAGCATCGCCCTGTAGAGACAAAGACACACAACCCCTTAGACAACTTCAACAGATACAATGAAACATGAGACTAGGTGGGAACTAGGTTAAAAACCTAAAACATTATTTGCATGTTCTTGTGCCAAAACTGTGTTTCGAGGTCTTTGGGAGGGGATGACATGTGTCAGCATTGAGTCATGTATCAGTGAGCCAAAACTAGTGCAACTGCCTTGGTCCAAATAGGTGGGAAACTATCCAAATTATTACATTATTATAAAGATGTTACAAATGTAAACTACATACACTTTTCCTATGCTGAAAAGTGCTGCAGTGACCTGATATGACCCACAGCAAGAGTCTAATAAAGATGTACCCCCCCCCCCCCCCCCCCCCCCCGATACACTCCTTATTTTATGTCCCTTTTCCTGTCTACTCTTTCACCCCTCCCTCCCTGTTTCCTCTGTCTTTCCCCATTGCCCCCCTCCTTTGCCCTCCGACCCCTCCTCTGTCCCCACCACATTCCATCTCAGCTGTGTTTGGGCTGTTGGTGTGGTGTGAGGGAGAAAAAGAATCACAATCAGACTTAACACAGTGGTGTCATGGCAACCCACACTGCATTCCTCACTGTTCCAACTGACTTTACAGTGGATGAGTGTAGACTAGACTGCTGCACTAACACACACACACACACAGTTAGACACGCACAGACACTGTTGCACGCACTCAAGCACATAAATGCACGCACACATACACAGCACTTAGGCGCGCATGCACCTGCACACGAGCACGTATCACATGCACACACACAGCCACACGCATGCATGTCTCCTGTGATGAATGGAATTTGTCGTGGTTTGTTTTCACTTTTCATCCCTCTACTGTTATTCTCAGTATCTCTAGTATTCTCTGTTTGATTGATTTTACAGCTATTTGAAGCTGGTGGACCAAAATGTGAAAGTTACCACCAGCTTTAAACAGCGGTTTTGGTCCACCAGCTTCAAAAAGCTGTAAAAACTATATTTTTTGTTAATGAAAATATATTTCACAGCGATTTAGATGGTACAATGATTCCCTACAATATTCAGTGCTTGTTTTCTCACATAAACTGAAATTGAGCAAACAGTGTAGAATTTGTAGAATTTGAGCAACCAGGAAATGACAGAACGATTTCCACTAGATAACACACCCACAAAGTCAGAACAGCTTTCCCAGTTTGACAACAGATGCCGCTCCGGCTGAAGAAATCAATAGGCGAATATCACAGCCAATCACACCACTGGCAGGTAAGTAATACTGTGAAACACTTATCATTCCACTGTTAGCGCCAGATATATTATGGACATTTTCTGATATTACAATGCAAAAATTCTAAAGAATCCTATGTGTAGCACCTTTAATAGTGAAAACATACAGAATCTTCCTCTGGTCTAAGCAGTAAAGACTGCTTATGGGTGTTGAAGAGAATTGGTGCACCTCATTATCTAGTGACTGTTTTGGGGAGGTGGTCGATATGTCTTGACAGGGAAAGGTATTTTTTCCTGAAAATGTAGCTCCTGTGTTTTGCTCTGAAAACAGCTTCAGCCCAAATTCCTTCCTCAGTGTAAGTAGGGGGAGGGAGAGAACGTCCAAGCTTGTCAACCTTCATCCCATTAGTGCATGGATGTTAGCCAGGAAATATCAGACAGGTTTTAAGCCAATTGCAGCATGGCACATTTAATCCAGGTAATTAGGCAGTCAGGTAAACACTCACTTCCTGATTAGTGTGACTAATTAGTTGAATTGCAGAGGGCTGCCTCCATTTTGACAGCGGACCCATTTACACCCTTCAAGTTGTGATCAGAGGACCATTTTAACATCCTTTTATAGCTCACATTTTATGCATTACTCCCAACACTTCATATCCAGTTCTGGGGGTGCTATATAATATCATTACGTTCTCCTGCGCTGTACTGCTTTCATGCCTTACCACCCAGTCCTTCAGATTCTCACCGCTTCATCTTCCTCAGAGGATAACTGTATTTATTTCCTCCTGCATCCAAGCCGCAGATCCCTCTACTTCCTATAGTCTGGGCCGGATTGGTGGGCAGCTGTGCGCATTCCGGGCGGGATTAGGGAAGCAGCGGCCAGCGCTAGATAAATCCGACTCAGAGTCACCCTATCCCTCATTAAAAACATTCCCACAAAGGGCCAGAGCCAGCTCGACAAATCCGTCCCGACAGGGAAAAAACAGAGGCCTGAGTAGGTACCAGCTTTAGCCCACCAAGGTCTCAAGGAGCTCAATGTAACTAACCCCCTTTCTCTCTATTCTGTAGGGTCATACAGATATGATACACAGAGGACTGGATGGCACCTATCTCAGCCTAAGGTCATTCTAAGGTCACAACACTAGCTCTCTGTGTGGGTTTTCATAAATTCAGCTAACTGAGGCACCTCATGTCTCACCTTATGTCACTCTGTACATAATGTGTGTGTGTGTGTGTGTGTGTGTGTGTGTGTGTGTGTGTGTGTGTGTGTGTGTGTGTGTGTGTGTGTGTGTGTGTGTGTGTGTGTGTGTGTGTGTGTGTGTGTGTGTGTGTGTGTGTGTGTGTGTGTTTTAGTGGCTGATTGATGAGGCCAAAGTGGCAGTCTTTAGTCGAAGAGGTCATTAAAGTTAATGAGGCACATCCAGAGGCAAACAGCCATGCAGGAACCCTGGGAGACTGATAGGCACTTCACTTACCACCTCCCCTGGAGGACCGTCCTTCCCTGCAGGCCCATCAGCACCTGTCAATCCCTGAGGAGGAATAACAACATCATGGAAACATTATTAGACGTTATATTGTGCTATTTCTTACGTCTAAATTGCTCAATTCAACTGTTTGAATAGATGGGAGACACATTTTATGGGATAATTCAATCAAGTTCTCTAACAAACGGTAGCTATGAGCAAATTGTTCACTGAATAGAGGACAGGTTACTTGCTCTGTATGCAGGTAAATGGCTGTTCAGTCCAAATCAGTCGAAGCTAGTATCATGGACTACAGCTTGGTATCAATAGCCTCAAGCTACTGCATATCTAATAGGTGCATGCTGAGTTATCTATGACAGCAATTCAGACAATCTCTTACGCATCAATAACAAGACCAGTGTGTATGTGTGAGTTTCTACGGGTCACTTACGTCCACTCCTGGGAGGCCGGGCAGGCCTGGGTTCCCTGGTCCTCCTGCTCCCCCTGCTTTCCCCTTGGGTCCCTAAAACATTGGAACAGGTCTGTGTTAGAACAATCAAACACCCTACACAAATGAATTGTTGATCTGTTGTTGTAAAAGGTTATGTTCTGTTGTTATACTCACAGCTTTCCCTGAAAGTCCAGGAGGGCCGTCTTTGCCCTGTCAATCAAAGGAAACAACATAAGATTCCAAAAGGACACATATCTCAAAGGCCTTTGATTTCAGTCTGGGAAATTGGACAGATTTTGGACATATCATATCCTTAAATAACAAGTGATTAAGTTGTATGTTAATACAAGTCCACAGTCACAAATGCCACTCAATTACTGTGTGTGTGTGTGTATGTGTGTTTAAAGACTAATAATACCATCTCAGCAGAAAGCTGTGAAATACGGACGTCCTTCTGGCCATTTTGTCATAAAAGGTCAATGAAAACACGGCTGAAATGAAACTCATCTACAGCTATATGTTGAATGGCTACCAGTGATAGATAGACTGAGTGTTTGAAGTGCTTTAACACACAGGAGGTTGTAGTTACCCTCTGCCATAAATCTCCCAGTGGGCAATGGGGAAAAATAAACATTGCTAAAAACGACCTGACTGAGCGGAATGGTCACATGATGAAAGCCTCCGGTTGGTTTGGACAGGGGGTAGGAGGAGGGAGGAGAGGGTGGCGAGGAAGGAGGTGTGAGGGGTAACTTTAGATGCTCTCGTAGAGTTGGGGAATGTATGAATGAATAGGTCTTCTGTATGACTGGCAGGCCTTCCAAACTGTGGTGAATTGACTTTGCTCCACTAAAGCAACACAACTATTCAATCCCCAATATCTAAAGGTTTGACATCAAATATAAAATTAATTGAATTTCTGTTATGAGATCTGAAAAGTTGCAGGCTCTGTTTGGTCCCATTAACATATCAAGTTATTGTAAAGGTTTGAGACCATAGCCCTTAGTGTTTTTGTTTTTTGAGCACATAATCCTATTTCCCCTCTAACATATAGCACAATTATGAACTTGATTTCTGGTTTAAGGTCCGACCTTTGGCTTTTCCCATATCTATCATGATTGGCTCTGATGTGTCATCGGGTGCCCTCTGGCCAATAGAAAGTGAAAGAGTGTTTAATGATGACTAAATACTTGTGGGGCCGGGTATGACTCTCAGTGGGAGGGGTCAATCTGCTATAGACTGGATAGCTAGAGAGCATTTGACCACAATCACAGTTGATCAAGTTGTATCAAATACAACACCTTCCCTATAAAAAGTTGGCATAAATCCTAATGTAGGTCCACATAAGTAAATGTTAAAATTCGTTTGAGAAGCAAGTGCTAAAGTAACAAGTTGCTTGATTGCCTCAGCCATGACGACAACTTCATTCAGTAATTGGATAGCAAAGCCCAGCTCTACTACACTCCACTACCTTACAGTGGTCTCAAAACCAATGAGAGCCCCTCGTGCATCGGTGTCTGGCTAGCTAACTCACGTCAGTACCATCCTTTCCCGCGGGTCCCGGGGGTCCTGGCGGCCCGACTGCTCCCGATGGGCCGGGTCTCTGCGACACAAAACCAAGACGTCAAAAATCAATACAAATATCCGCAAGACAGATAGGTATTATCATGTGATAAATCTTTATAAATGGCCTAAAATCAAGCTGCTTTGTGTCCAGGCTACTGTCCAAATGGGCATGGAAGGAATGTGCGCATTAAGGATGAAAAAATAGACCGGATAAAGACTTTTATATACAAAGTCTAAATGCTTGTTGTTGAAAGTGTTCCAATATTAGTGTGAACTGATCGTGCGTCATTATTCAGAACGAAAAAGAAGTGGCCACATTGGTAGGCTTCAGGTTCTATTATATTATATTGCTTTGAATCTCCTAAACAATCAACTGAAACAAATAAAAAATAAATTTCCATGATTCCGTTGTGAAAAACAATCAAATGTATCACAAAATATATGATGCCAAAGCTATGCGCATGAAATAACCTTTATACAACCGTGCGGTTAAGCGCAGATATGACCCAAATTACGCACAGGCAGTGCAAATAATTTATAGAGTAACAAACTAATCATTTAAGTGTAATAAAATAATACAAATATAGTTTATTTAATTTCAGACTGGACTAATAAACGTAGGTGTTTCCTAGGGCTTCCAAGCACGGCTGAATGAACAAAGGTGTCATTGTGAACAGGCCACTGATCTTCAGGCTCTGCATTCTTTAGCCTCAGGGTAAACATAACCCTGACTCCATAAACTCGCAAGTAAATTAAAAAAGGTAACTGAAAAGACGACAGTCCTTCACGGACACCTGTGGATGATTAAATAAACAAATTACCTAATTGTTTCAATAACCCATTCAAGAATCGTTGAACAAATCGACACTTTATAGGCTACATACAACCTTATAAAACAAGAAAGGCACTAACACGTAGGAAAAAATCAAAACCGTCTATAACCTATGTATAAAACTGGGTCAAAGGTTAATATACAAATGGATGATAAATAGCCTATAAGTGACCACCTTGCAGGTAGCGTAATTATCATGGAAGGATTAGACTGACACATTTACACCCACAGCAGAAAGCAAATCTAGGAACTGAATGGGAACCTCAGGCCAGTTATCGAGTGCCTACAAATTCTTCAGGCAGCTTACAAAGAAGCTATACAAACAGCAATTCCGAGCACAGGGTGGCAGATGAAAACATCAGGGATGGATGGATAACGGGCGCACCAAAGCCACCGCTTACCTGGGCTGTAGATGATGTCAAAAGCTGGCACAGCAAGAGCAGCCCGAGAGCTGAGAACATAGACATGGCTTCCCGCTCGCCCCTCAAATCAGAGTTTACGCGGAAAAAGTCAAACCCCGTTCCCAGTCCTTATCGCTCGCTCTCCCCCCGGCGTCGTGATGGACCGCTCCTTCACCTTACAGCGCGCGGCTTCTGAATGGCTTTCACCTTGATTCCAGATAAACCTGAGCCTCCAGCAGAGGGGGCAGATCGTACTGTAGCGAGGGATGAGGGGAGTTGTGAGTTGAGGAACTGATGGAGGTGGGAGCGAGGTAGAGGGCCACGACTTCGGAGCCAGTAAAAGTGGGCTGCGCTATAACTTTCCTGCAAATCCATGGGGGCACTACTGCCCAATCCGAAACCGACCTCTACAATCTAACCTCCAAGTTGTGCAGATCTGAAGTTATAAGGTAGGTGAAAGCAATATGGTGAAAGATCCACCGGCCTAAAGAGGACGTGGATGGAGCTACACCATATTGCTTTCACCCATCCAAATCATTCAGATCTACTTTAAGTGCCACAGTAGGGTCGGTTTGGAATGGATGGGAGGTGAAATCAGACTTCTGGGAGGACCCTTCATTGGTCCACAACTAAGCTTCCCTTGCACCAACCTGCAACTTCAGTTTGTAAAATTCACAGGCCTACTTTGACTACATTCACCAGGGGACATTTTGACAGTATCCATGCCACTGCACTGCTCCTCAAGCTGTTATTATAGTACAGTATTCAGACAACCAAGGTTGGAATCTGAAGAATGGAAGAATTCTAGAAGGAAAAAACTGAATTTGACAAACAAATGTAAATAAGTTGCACAATCTTTATTTTATTGTCATTTAACAGGAAAGTGTCGAGTTTGGAGGTTGCATGGACAAATTATTTTCAAATTCCATTCCTCACCCCACCAAAGTGGAGTGTATTTATTTACAACCCCTTTACACGCAATTTCAATACATGTATGATGAATATATTAATTCATTTGCTGAAAATTGTAAAATGAACATTCGTGATGAAATCTCCACAAGGGTGGAAAACAAAGATTACCCAAACATAACCTCAGAGATGGAAGAAACGTTGACTATCTCCCACAGGGTTTTCCTGAGATTTGCAATTCAATAAACTAGTAGAAGGGGATCGGGCCTTTGGATAATCATACAATAATTTTGAATAAAAAAAAAAACAATAAATAGCAATACCCTCCCTGCTTGGAACATAAGGAAAGAACACCCACATCCTATTGATTACACATACTGTATCATCCAACATCAAAGCAAAAGTAGTTAAACCAAATAGCTACATCTCATATTATTTCAAAACTGCCAAGACATAATACAATCAACCAGTTAAATGTTATTTTCTTTTTTTTGGCAATGTCATCTATATCTCATTCCGCAAATAATAATTGTGCAAAATTCTTGAAATAAATGAGATTACAATCCAGTTCCCATTTCATAGTAGGGGCTTTCAATAAAATATAATACATAATGTAGTCGGAACATTGACACATAATACTAGATACAAAGTACATTTCCATTTTTGTTGTTGTGCAAAATGACTATTCAAACTGTATTTCGTTTTTGAATGGAGTGACAATAAAAATAAAAACAAAGTAAGAAGCAGGCATCAGTTCATTGTATGAGATGGAATTAATATTTTCAATGTTAACTGTAATTATAGACTATCCTTACATCCTCCTCAGTTCAAGGCGCCCAACTACTTGCAGTTGCAGGATCAACCATGGAGTACTGATTGCAGTCAGAATCCCCTTTCACAACACAATTTCATCAGAACAAATACATTCAGTAATTCATACATCCTTACCAACAAAAAGAACAGACCCACTCTAAAGTGAACATGAAGGAGGACAGCAGAACATAAGGCCTGAAAACTCGTGTTCTGCTAAGGCCCTGTGCAGAAACCATCCAGCCCCTACCTCCAAGGCACTTCTGTAGAAGTCAGATTTTATGCAATTCTGAGTGGATTGGAGAGGTGTAAGCAATATGGATTCCATCTAACCTACAGTATCAGACAGCAAGGATGAGCTATTACCATATGACTTACACATATGTTCTGATCCGTTCATATCCCCATGAAGTGCCTAGGGGGTAGGGTCTAGGGGTCATTTTGGGATTGGCCATAAGTGTACACAATTTAACATACGTCCCTTTAGTCTGCCTCAGATTGGTCCCTCCTTCTATTCAGGAAGTTCCCATGTCTTGGTCTGAACTTGGCTGAGAGGTGGATTCCACATCCATCGCCTCCACTTCATTTTTCACCGCTTTCCCATTTGTCTGGTCCTCTCCAGCTTTCTCTGTATTCTCCCCAACCACTGGCACTGCTTTGTTATCAGGCACATCACTAAAGTCAGTCCTTGGGTGTTTTTCCCCTCGTTCTGAGGAGTCCAATGGCAAGTCCTTTTTGGGATCCTCTGTCTTGGCTTTGTGGGATGATGCCACTGACGGGCTCGTCTGATGTGGGTGGTTGTTGTTGTCGGGGACGACCATGCCTTTCTCCCACCCGTTGGGGCGGTTGTCTGTAGGACCGTTGCTAGGCACCACCTTGTCACCTTCCCTTTTCTTCTTGGTCGGTTGCACCAAGTTCTCAGACTCCATTTCAGATGCAGCTGCCTTGACTTTGACTGAGTCCTGGACACTGTCCTTGGCCTGACTATCCTCTTTGAGTCCTTCCTCCATACTGTGATCTCCTTTAACAGACTCAGGGTCTGTGCTGCCTGAATGGTCCATGTCAACATTGTCAATATCATTACTGTTCCTGTTTCCCAGTGGTTCCGAGTCCTCTAAGGAGATCGCTGGCCCAGAAGGATCAACAGAAAACCCCTCTGCCTGCTTATCTCCGTCACTACTCAATGCTTCATCATTCAACTTGGTAGTCTCCTTCACCTCCTCCGTGACACCCTTCTCCTCCTTCTGGGCTCCCCCTGCCTCTCCCTCTCTAGCCTTGGCTCGTAGGCGGCCCTCCTCCACTCCCTCTCCATTCCCCTTCTCTGCCTTCTTCAGCTGTTTCTGGATCTTTCTGGGGCACCATACAAACTTTTCCTTGGGCTCAAAGTGCTGGAAGGCGTAGCGCAGAAGCTCTTTGCGCTTCTTCTTGTCACGAATGGCAAACAGGAAGTAGTCGAGCACACTACGCTTGACGCTGCTCAGGTTCCTTTTGACCAGCGTCTCCTCCAGGAAGAAGCGCACCAGCGGGCTCTGGTAGTGCTCAAAGCCCAGCTCCCCCAGGCTCTTCAGGATGCGTGTGATGCGGAGGTTGTTGTGCATGTTCCTGAGACAGAAAACACAACCAATATTTAGATGGAGGACCCCCTAGTTTACAACACCTTTCTAATTTAGAAATTGGACAAAGAATGTTCATCAGTGGTTCCACATGGTCTTAAGAAACCACACCCTGTAAAGATGGCCAAGGTGTGACTTCAGCATCTCACCTTTCAAGGTTGGCGAAGCGTTCTCTCCAGTTGTCGGCGCGTTTGACCTCGCCTGTGTCTTTGTTGACCAGCTGGATACCATAGAACCCCAGCATGAGCTCGTAGGACTCCACCAGCCTCTTCTTGGCTTCCTCACTCTCCCTGAAGGCCTGAGGACACAGTGGGGCAAGAGCACAGAGATCAGAGACCATCATCATTGCCTTGATAGAGAAGCTCCATTCATAAACGTTTTGTCTGCTCACTGGACCCAAGGGAGTCCATTGACAAGTCACCCTATGCTTACTGTTTCATTCAAAAGTAACTCATTTTATGAAAAGGGCATTTCACAGTGCTTTATCGTACCCCTTAACTACACTTGCACATCAGTGCTCCTAATACACCACAATGATCAAGCAAAAACGTGAAGCACTCACCTGGATCTCCTTCTTGGTGAGCTCAGAGGCCATGTAGTTCACTCCTGGCTCCCGAAGTGGAAACAACCTGAGAACAACAGCGGATTATAACTTGAGATGGCACAGTGCAATCACTTCACTGATGTTTCAATCTTGTTTTGTGATAGCTTTCCTGTTGATATGTTACTGCTCTGTGCTGCGGGCTAAGTGACACAAAATGTTGGTGATTGACAGTTTATTCCAACAGAATGTAAACGCCATCCAAGTTTATGACACTTGAGATTAGATTACTGTACTGTTATCATTGTGAGTCAGGCAAAGTATAGGCCTAGTCAAAGTAATATAGTCATATGTATATAGTATAATACTACATTATAATGGTATAACTTCCTAGAGTTTTCAACTTGTGCTACATCTACTTCTGGTTGAAACTTGCTGTCATACGTGACTTTTAATTTGTCTGTTATAGATGTCCATCGGGATACATTAGAAACAAATACACACAACTAGCCCAAAACAGAACCGGAGCATTTAGGATCATACATACCACTGAATGTAGGAGTGAACTCTCTCCAGCCTCTTGTAGTCAGTCTTCCATTCTTTATGAAATGATTCGATTAAAATGTCTAAACAAAAATGTAGAGCATTACATACACCATTACGCACATTTTCCAGTCACTGAAAACTGCTTGGTTGAATAGCAAATGACCTACCATCAGGGGAGGAGGGGTATTCGTTGAGATAGAATTTTAAATTGAACATTCTCTCTTCTGAGCATTCATCATCTGTTAGATTCTGGGAAGATACGCAGACAAGCAGCACAGTCAGATGTCTAGATGACGACGTCTCATGACAATGACAAGATAAAAACAGATGACCTGTGTAGGGCCTGGAGTTTTACCTGGTCAGGAAAAAATGTGGGTTCTGGTAAGACCAGGTTAGCCTTACATTACCCAACATTTTCCCTGACAAATTCACATGAACAACAAAAACTCCTGGCCCTATTCATGTGTAATAACAAGAGCCTTCAGACTTACAGGATACCCTTTTCTGTAGTTCTGCATGTCCTTCGCAGCCCTCATGTTCCTGGAGAACGTGTTTGACCACTGTGAAAGATGGGGTACATCAGAGATATTAGACAAAACATTTGGCAGAAATACATTTATAGGCATTATTTTTCCTTTTGGTACCTTAAAATGATTTTGACCTGGGTGTAAGTCAGTGGAACCAAAGAGGAGACAGACCCCAGACCATAGCTGTAGTTTCACCCCATAGTTTCCCTGTTTGAACAGTTGCATGGGTGATGTAGCGCAGTGTTAATTTGGGCAACAAAAATGGTGACGAAAATACCAAATACTACTTTAATAAACACAAGTGAATTTGTCCCAATACTTTTGGTCCCTTAAATGGGGGAATGTGTACAAAAAGTGCTGTAATTTCTAAACAGTTCACCCGATATGGATGAAAATGCTGTCACGATCGTCAGGGAGAGAAGTAGACCAATGCGCAGCGTGATGAACGAACATGTTACTTTATTATATTAAAGCACGAAACAAAACAATAAACGACTCGTGAAGTCCACGGTGACAATGACCGAACACAGAACAAAAACCCACAAACACAAAGTGAAAAACAGACAGTTAAATATGGCTCCCAATCAGAGACAACCAGCCAACAGCTGACACTCGTTGCCTCTGATTGGGAGTCGCTCAGGCAAACATAGAATACACAACCTAGAACACCCAACATAGAAACAGAACACATAGAATGAACACACCCTGGCTCAACATATAGAGTCCCAGAGCCAGGGTGTGACAGTACCCCCCCCTAAAGGCGGACTGCGACCGCGCCTCAACAAGAGCAAAACAGGGGAGGGCTGGGTGGGCACACCTCCTCGGCGGCGGCTCCGGCCCCGGCCTTGCCCACCACCCTCCAATAAACCCCCCATAGCGCCCCTGGTCCGGTCTGGCCCCGCTGGCTGGAGCTGACCTGGACGTAGCAGGAGCGGCTAGCTTCAGCTCCGTTGTGGAGCAGTTGAGCGGTACCTGATTTGGCACCGATGACCCAGGCACGGGTTGTGCCAGACTGACGACGCGCACCCCTGGCTTGGTGCGTGAGGCAGGAACTGACCGGACCGGGCTGACGATGCGCACCCCTGGCTTGGTGCGTGGAGCAGCAACGGGCCGGACCGGGCTGACGATGTGCACCCCTAGCTTGGTGCGTGGAGCCGGAACGGGCCTCACCGGACTGACGACTCGCACCCCTGGCTTGGTGCGTGGAGCCGGAACGGGCCTCACCGGACTGACGACTCGCACCCCTGGCTTGGTGCGTGGAGCCGGAACGGGCCTCACCGGACTGACGACTCGCACCCCTGGCTTGGTGCGTGGAGCCGGAACGGGCCTCACCGGACTGACGACTCGCACCCCTGGCTTGGTGCGAGTAGCAGGAACGGGCCTCACCGGACTGACGACTCGCACCCCTGGCTTGGTGCGAGTAGCAGGAACGGGCTGGACCAGGCTGACGACGCACACCGTAGGCTTGGTGCGTGGAGCAGGGACTGGCCGGACTGGGCTGGCGACGCACACCGTAGGCTTGGTGCGTGGAGCAGGGACAGGCCGGACCGGGCTGACGACTCGCACCCCTGGCTTGGTGCGTGGAGCCGGAACGGGCCTCACCGGACTGACGACTCGCACCCCTGGCTTGGTGCGAGTAGCAGGAACGGGCCTCACCGGACTGACGACTCGCACCCCTGGCTTGGTGCGAGTAGCAGGAACGGGCTGGACCAGGCTGACGACGCACACCCTCACACACTCTGTGTGAGGCATCCGCACAGGACGTACAGGGCTGTGTACCCGTACTGGCATAACAGCACGTGACACTGGAGCAGGATATCAGGGACCGCGGAGAGGCATTGGAGACCACGAGCGTTGAGCCGGCACACTCCGTCCTGGCTGCATACCCGCCTTCGCACGACACGTGCGGGGCGCTCGCACAGGACGTACAGGACTATGCCGGACCACTCGTGGCACAGAACGCCGCTCCGCATACCGCGGAACCTGCCCCGTCCCATGCTGCCATGCCTGAGTACGGGACGTTGGTTCCGCTCTCCTTCCAGGCTCCGCCAACCTGCCTTCTGGGCCCCCAAACCCGGTGGCCTCCTCTCCAAATCGCCCTGTGGCAGCCTCCTGCTGCCCAGCCGCCCATGCCGTGTGCCCCCCCCCTAAATTTTTTTTGGGGTTGCCTCTCGTCCTTCCGACGATGACACTGCTGACGCCGCTGCTCCTCTCTCGCCAGGGCCTTAATCCTTGCCCATGGCCCTTTGCCCCCGAGCATGTCCTCCCAGGACCACGATTTGCCCACCTGGGCCATCGCCAGCCTCTCCATCTCCTTTCCTGGCGCTTCCTCCCATGTCCAGTCTGCCTGTTCCTGGACACGCTGCTTGGTCCTGGTACGGTGGGTTTTTCTGTCACGATCGTCAGGGAGAGAAGTAGACCAATGCGCAGCGTGATGAACGAACATGTTACTTTATTATATTAAAGCACGAAACAAAACAATAAATGACTCGTGAAGTCCACGGTGACAATGACCGAACACGGAACAAAAACCCACAAACACAAAGTGAAAAACAGACAGTTAAATATGGCTCCCAATCAGAGACAACCAGCCAACAGCTGACACTCGTTGCCTCTGATTGGGAGTCACTCAGGCAAACATAGAATACACAACCTAGAACACCCAACATAGAAACAGAACACATAGAATGAACACACCCTGGCTCAACATATAGAGTCCCAGAGCCAGGGTGTGACAAATGCCCTCAAATAAAAGTTGACAGTCTGCACGTTAACCTCATAGCAATTGCATCATTTCAAATCCAAAGTGCTGGAGTACAGAGCCAAAACAACAGAACAGTTGTCACTGTCCCAATCCTTTTGGAGCTCACTGTACATCAGTGATAATTTTGTCACTCTTTTTTTTTTGATTTAGTCTAGTCTTAGTCATTTCGACTAAAATATCATTAAGTCTTAGTCACATTTGTCATTTGAATAATGATTTAGTCTAGTTATTTTCTAAATGATGAAAACAGTGGGCAATTTTTGCCAACTAAATGCCCTTTAATTTTAGTCATTTTATGCACATCACATTTGTATTGCCTCATTAATCTATAGTAAACATAAATCACTGACTTCCATGTGCACAAACATACATAGCCTTGTCTTACCAACATACTTTTCTGCATTACATCATATCGCATGATTCTCTTCCCAACAGCCAAATTGGCAGAACACATTACTCTGCAGCAGATCAAATACAAATAAATCATACCCCTTGACAGGGCACATAAAGGGCAGTAGTCAATGGCAAAACATTCACTGACTGTGAGATGACACTTATCTTCACACCTCTAAAACACTTAACTTTAAGACAGCTCAGCTAAAATGCTCAAGGACATATTGCATTTGTTTTCAACAAAAAAAGCAGTGAAATGCAGAACATTGCCTGTGACTGCAACAGAAAGCATTTTAAAATATATATATTTTTAAATTATGTTAAACCATTTTCACTATTTGTCCAATGAAATCAGTTATGACAGTTTTGATTGGTGTGACTGGTAATCAGGAAAAACTATTTTTGAGTATAATGTTCAGTTGGTCATCAGTGCTAAAACAGATGTTCAAAATAATAGTGAAATGGGTAACACATACACAAGTTGGTTGTTTAGCAACAGACCTGACGCGTGTGCAACTATGGGCCAAAACAGATGGAGTTGGCTTACATTGTTGACAACATGTAAACTATATTTAGTCTCCAAATGTTTATTGTTTATTTATTTGCACAATGAGAACCTGTCTCAAATACATCGGTACATTTGTTGGATAGCTAGCTAATGAATTTTAGCCATATTAACATTGACATGAAATCAGTCAAAACAAGACATGGTATCAATAACAAGATACAACAAACTGAAACGAGCCACTTACAATTCCCCACATGGCAGATTCTTGTTGTGGTTGCTTGGTATTTGACCATTCAGAATCATAAAGCGCGGCTTCCGGCCACAAGCGCATAATTTGTGATGTTGTCAGCCAACCAGTCCATGAATAGCTAGCTAATCAAAACGGCTAGCTACATAGTTACTATCCTAGACATTAAAACCAGTAGATAGCGCTGACGTCATCCACGTATTCCTATGGAAAACTCCTAACGGCGCATGAAGCCAGAAGTATTTGAATTTGAAGCACGGCATATTGCTGAATGGCAAAACATTTTTGTTGCTAAGGATCATGATGAAAGTGGCCGTAACTAGCAAAGGATCATGGTCGATGTAGTCGTTTTCATCCTGCCTGAGAGAGTCAACCTGGTTTTAATGTCTACGAACCTGATACAAGCCTACTGTTAAACCTTTGCAGCAAAAGGTTCATTTAAAAGCTCACCATTACCTAAAACCTAACCAGGTCAACATTGGAAAACCAAACGGACACCAAATATTAACTACGATAATCAGAATTACGACTGATTTACCAACAACAACAAAAAAGATTAGACTCTTTCGAATGACGATTAGTACAGTTAAATACAGAACATGCTGGCATGGTGACTCTTTGTAAAATAGAACTAAATTGGCGCAAAGTTAAGTGCGTGCGAGTACCCTATCTAGATATAATTTGACCATGATCCTTCCAACTGAAAATATAAAGTTAATGGGCTACCATCACAACAACGATCACACCTTGGTTAGGCTAGGTCCACACAGCAGCACATTTTGTTTGCGCATTCTACACATTCCACTGCCTATCCGTTACTTTTCTGCGTGGCCTGTTTGCCGGTCAACACTGGGTATTAATTCTGATTAGCTAGCTACCTGGCCTAGCAAGCCTTTTAGAAACTTTAGTTCAACCTACAAATCAGCGGCATGTTACTTTAGCTCACTGGTAGAAACTGTTTGGTGGTAGTTAGCTAGCTGGAAAAGCAGACAACCCATCCTCCCAATAGTTAAATGGCTAGCTACCTAGCTAACTAATCAGTTGGCTAACTTAGCAATTGAAGACGAAGCCAGCTAGCCAATTACCAACCAGTTAGCTATTGCAATCTACCAACAACTTCTGAAACGGCCCGCCAGACTTTGTCAATGCTAGCTAGCTTTAATATTGGCATATAGCCACATGTGTAGCTAGTATACTGTATATTTCTGAACCTTGTTAGCCTACTGGCTATCAGTGGCGACCCATAATTCTGGGCAGAGCCCCACCGGTTTAAACATTTTGTAGGGGGAAAAAATGGCCTGTTTTGCATATAATTCTGGCATTAATTAGTGTTTCAGTTTAGCCCCCCCTTGGGAGCTGCCATACATTTACAGTAGAAATGCTCGTCCAAGAAGACTCAAGGTCAATGGCCACAGATAAAATTACATTGAATCATGTTATACCTCCCGTAGCTTTGATTGGAATGATCATATCAATAGCTAGCTAGATAAGCAGTCATCATCATGAACCACATCGACAATCTACTGGCAAATCCTTTTCAATCCTTGTCATATGAAGAGAAATTAGAGATAAAACGTCTCGGTGCTCATCGGCCATTGAACAGAAACATTACACAACAAGTCGGAAATCGCAAATTCAACAATGAGTGGTTTGTAAGGATGCAGTGGCTAACTGCGAGTGTCGCAAAGCAATCACTATTTTGCTTCCCCTGCCTGCTATTAGGTGGAGAGTGTGTCATCCAAGTCTGGGTATAAGGATTTAAAACATCTGTCTGAAAGGGTCTCAAAACATGAGAATTGTGCTTCACATGTAGAAAACGCTGTTAAACTCTGATTACTGTGGAAATCAAACACTGTGGCTCAGCTAGACACCGCATATACTGTAGATGAGCCATGGGTAAAAACGATGGGTAAAAAATAAAAATAAAGCAGACATTCAATATCCCTTTGAGCACAGTGAAGATTGGATGGTGTATCAATACAAAAAAGATACAGGCCTCTTTCCTAACTCAGTTGCCGGAGCGGAAGGAAACCACTCAGGAATTTCCCCATGAGGCCAATGGTGACTTTAAAACAGTTACAGAGTTTAATGGCTGTGATAGGAGAAAACTGAGGATGGATCAACAACATTGTAGTTACTCCACAATACTAACCTAAATGACAGGGTGAAAAGGAAGCCTGTACATAACATTAATCCTTTTTGCAATAAGGCACTAAAGTAAACCTGCAAAAAAAAATCCGGAATACAAAGTGTTACGTTTGGGGCAAATCCAACACAACACATCATATTTTCAAGCATGGTGGTGGCTATGGGAAGCCTATACTTGTCATTGGCAAGGACTAGGGAGTTTTTTTTAGGATAAAAAGAAACGGAATAGAGCTAAGCACCGGCTAAATCCTAGAGAAAAACCTGGTTCAGTCTGCTTTCCAACAGACACTGGGAGACAAATTCACCTTTCAGCAGGACAATAACCTAAAACACAAGGCCAAATATACACTAGTCACAGATAGAACAATGAGACATATTTCACCAGATGTATAAATGTGAAGCATCCAGTTGGCGTTTCCACTCACTACCAAATATGGTGATGAGAGGAAGCCCAGTGGCTGGCAGTGGGAGAAGATGGAGCGAAGATGGATTTTGGCCGACATTCTGCAAATTTTCTCATCACTGAAACATTTGATCTCGATACAGTTCTGTTTCCAAACCTAGAATCTGTTACGAACAGAGTGGACTAAGTTTTGTAGACTACCCTTTGCCCAATTTCTAAAAGTTGTTTTCTTTAGAAGAAGTGCAAGGGCGAATTGAGTTATTGCACACGCACACTTCACAGAGTAGGCGTGAATAGACCCCTTTCCAGTACACGACACACTGACGTCACGCACAGATGCGCGCGACTCTTGGCTGCAGTAAGAAAGCAATCGCCATCTGCGCCCATTCAACATAGCCTAGATTTTAATTACCTCTAAACAAAATAACTTTTTTGGGTTCTCGTACGCTTACAATTATGTTTTGATTCTTGCTGAAACAGTCGCTAAGTTTATATAGTACCAGTCAAAAGTTTGGACACCTACTCATTCCAGGGTTTCTCTTTATTTTTTAAATTTTTTTACATTGTAGAATAATAGTGAAGACATCAAAACTATGAAATAACACATATGGAATCATGTAGTAAACAACATTTAAAAAAATAAAAATGTATTTTATATTTGAAATTCTTCATTGGAAAACCAAACGGACAGCAAATATGAACTACGATAATCAGAATTACGACTGATTTACCAACAACAAAAAGATTACTCTTTTGAATGACGATTAGTACAGTTAAATACAGAACATGCTGGCATCGTGACTCTTTGCTTTGCACACGCTTGGCATTCTCTCAACCAGCGTTCTAAAATTAGGTGGATAAGAACTCCCCTGTGTTCTGCCACCAACTTGCCTGCATCGCCCTCTTGTGGCAATGTTTGCAAACACAGAAAGCTAGCTTGTGCTTGGCTCTGCCCACCTCCTTGCTTGTTTTGCCCACTATGATTAATTTGCTCCCATTGGAAACGACAGGCTGTGGTCTATCTTGGGTTAGTTATAAAAGCCTTTGCTAGAGTTGCTTACCAAGAAGACAGTGAATGTTCCTGAGAGGCCTAGTTACAGTTTTGACTTAAATCAGCTTCAAAATCTATGGCAAGACTTGAAAATGGCTGTCTAGCAATGATCAACAACCAACTTGACAAAGTTTAAGAATTTTTAAAAGGATAATGTGCAATTATTGTACAATCCAGGTGTGCAAAGCTCTTAGGGGGGGGAGGGGGTTAAATACTTATGTAATCAAAATAGTGTTTAATTTTTCATAAATGTTTTACAAATGTTAACATTTTTCTTCCAATTTGACATTAGAGTATTTTGTGTAGATCGTTAAATTTTTTTACAATTAAATCCATATTTAAAAAGCTCCACTGTCGGATAATCGTTGTATAGGCCCTAACAGTTTGTGGGCACCGTTTGTCACAGTTATAGTGCATTTAATGTATTGTTTAGTGTTGTGTAGTGGCTTCGCTGGCATACATCTAAAAGAATTGGTTGAGTTTGCCCCACCAAGATTTACATGCGAAAATCGCCACAGCTGGCTTTAATGCACTGACTAGTTCAAGACAAAGTGGGGATGAAAAGCTAACGTTACATATAGCTAACGGTAACGTTAGCGCTTTATCTAGCCTTTAGCCTGCTAACGTTAGTTGGCATAGTAGCTAGCTAGCTTTGTAACAAACAACTAAATTAGGCATTATAATGAAACGTTTGTAAAATATAATGATAGCTACCAACTCGCGTAAAACTATTACATTCTCCTGCAAACAATATTCAAAACTTGGAGGTAGTTAGTTAGCTTGGTTAGCCTGGCTGGTTAGGCTTCCATTACATTAGTTGAACAGTTGCTAGCTAGCTAGCTAAATTGCAATTTAAATCATGCAAGTTAGCTAGCAAGCTAACGTGTGATAGTAGTGGCCTAATGCTAGTTTTTGCGTACTTGTTCGCCGTGTTAACGCCAACATTTGTATAGTTAGTAACACAACAAATAAAAAAAATTAATGCAACGTACTAAACCAGACGTCCAATATGATTTAGTTTTGTCCTGGCTTGAGCGACGCGTTTGGTTCTCTCCTGAATCGTCTCCATCACTCTCTGTGTCCCACGTCGAATCATACACGCACACTAAATCGTCCTGCTCCATCATTGAAAACACAATGTCGGCTTGATAAAGACCAAAAGCGAAATCTGTCTAGCCACGATAATTAGACATGAGTTGAACTTCTAGCCCTAAATTTGATCACTACCACGACCAACCATCCCTCCTCCCGGTCACCAAAATCCATTGTCGCGATTCGTTGTACCAGTACGGGTTCGACACACGCGAGTGACAGGGTGAAATGGTCTGCAGTCAATGCATGTCTGTCTGTCTGTCTGCTGGCTGAGCAGCTGATGACAGGGTTGCCAGATCAAACTAAAAAGTATTGCCCAATGACTATTCTAAACCAGCACAAAAGGACTGAAACTATCCCAACAGTTTTTTCCTACAGCAAGAGGGGATTTGCCACATTTATACATTATACTATTTTCCCATAACGTCATCGAGCCAATTTAGAAGGAATATCGACATAACTTGTAACGACGCTAGAAGCAAAATTAGGTTTTCATCAAAATAATAATTATTGCAAGCTATGAAGTGACATAATAAAGGAATTTGAATATGTCTCAAGATAAAATATTATTCACCCTTATTAAACTCGCCAGATCATTTTCCATCAATGGGTGTCGATTTAACTCGTTTGACTGCTATGATTAAGCAATAAAGCAGGAGGGGGTATGGTACCGTGCATTCGGAAAGTATTGTTACAGCCTTATTCTAAAATGTATTAAATAATTCCCCCCCCCCCCTCATCAATCTAAACACAAAACCCCATAATGACAAAGGAAAAACATTTACATAAGTAGTCAGATTCCCTGGGTGCCTTATTGCTATTATAAACTGGTTACCAACGTAATTAGAACAGTAAAAATAAATGTTTTGTCATACCCTTGGTACACGGTCTGGTAACCAGTTCATAATAGCAATAAGGCACCTAGGGGGTTTGTGGAATATGGCCAATATACCACGGCTAAGGGCTGTTCTTATCACGACGCAATGCAGAGTGCCTGGATACAGCCCTTAGCCGTGGTATATTGGCCATATACCACAAAGCCCAGAGGCAAGGGGTGACTACTTTGAAGAATCTAAAATATAACATATATTTTGATTTGTTTAACACTTTTTTGGTTACAACCTGATTCCATATGTGTTATTTCATAGTTTTGATGTCTTGATGTAGAAAATAGTAAAAATAAAGAAAAACCCTTGAATGAGTAGGTGTGTCCAAACTTTTGACTGGTGCTGTATATATATATATAGTATATATTTCACTGTGACCTGCTGCTGCTGACTATCAGGCAGTGAGGCAGGCTGTTGCTGTGTGACTGATTGGTGGAGAGGTCCTGAGGGGTGTGTGTGTTGAGAGAGTACTGCAACAGGCAGCTTAGTCCGCTATTGGCTGAGTCACATGAGTGAGAGGATGCTATTTAGATTGTCATTATGGAGACAACAATTTTTTCCCAACCCTTTTTCTATAAAACATATTAACACGCTAGAACTGATGCGCATCAATAAATAATAGAGACAAAGCACTGGAAAACGACTTTGGGCGCACTAGAGCGCATTAGATACATTTGCTTCGAGGTGGTTTAAACTCCATTCTAATAGAGCCCCACAGTGGAGGTGTCATAATACCCATAAAACCTAGCGGTCAAACAGGGAAATGGTTCCAGGGTTTTTCAAAGGTTTTTCTTTAATTGTACTATTTTCTATATTGTAGAATAATAGCGAAGACGTCAAAACTATGAAATAACACATATGGAATCATGTAGTAACCAAAAAAGTGTTATACAAATCAAAATATATTTTATATTTGAGATTCTTCAAAGTAGCCACCCTTTGCCTTGATGACAGCTTTGCACACTCTTGGCATTCTCTCAACCAGCTTCATGAGGTAGTCACCTGGAATGCATTTCAATTAACAGGTGTGCCTTGTTAAAAGTTAATTTGTGGAATTTCTTTCCTTCTTAATGCGTTTGAGCCAATCAATTGTGTTGTGACAAGGTAGGGGTGGTTTATAGAAGATAGCCCTATTTGGTAAAAGACCAAGTCCATATTATGGCAAGAACAGCTCAAATAAGCAAAGAGAAATGACAGTCCATCATTAATTTAAGACATGAAGGTCAGTCAATCTGGAAAATTTCAAGAACTTTGAAAGTTTCTTCAAGTGCAGTCGCAAAAACTATCAAGCGCTATGATGAAACTAGCTCTCATGAGGACCGCCACAGGAAAGGAAGACCAAGAGTTACCTCTGCTGCAGAGGATAAGTTCATTAGAGTTAACTGCACCTCAGATTGCAGCCCAAATAAATGCTCCACAGAGTTCAAGTAATGGACACATCTCAACATCAACTGTTCAGAGGAGAGTGCGTGAATCAGGCCTTCATGGTCGAATTGCTGCAAAGAAACCACTACTACAGGACACCAATAAGAAGAAGAGACTTGCTTGGGACAAGAAACACAAGCAATGGACATTAGACCAGTGGAAATTTGTCTTTTGGTCTGATGTGTCCACATTTGAGATTTTTGGTTCCAACCATCGTGTCTTTGTGAGACGCAGAGTAGGTGAATGGATGATCTCTGCATGTGTGGTTACCACCCTGAAGCATGGAGGAGGAGGTGTGAGGGTGTGAGGGTGCTTTGCTGGTGACACTGTCTGTGATTTATTTAGAATTCAAGGCACACTTAACCAGCATGGCAACCACAGCATTCTGCAGCGATACGCCATCCCATCTGGTTTGCGCTTAGTGGGACTATCATTTGTTTTTCAACAGGATATTGACCCAACACACCTCCAGGCTGTGTAAGGGCTATTTGACCAAGAAGGAGAGTGATGGAGTGCTTCATCAGATGACCTGGCCTCCACAATCACCCGACCTCAACCCAGTTGAGATGGTTTGGGATGAGTTGGACCGCAGAGTGAAGGAAAAGCAGCCAACAAGTGCTCAGCATATGTAGGAACTCCTTCAAGACTTCCAGGTGAAGCTGGTTAAGACAATGCCAATAGTGTGCAAAGCTGTTATCAAGGCAAGGAGTGGCTACTTTGAAGAATCTAAATTCTAAAATATATTTTGATTTGTTTAACACTTTTTTGGCTACTACATGATTCCATATGTGTTATTTCATAGTTTTGATGTCTTCACTATTATTCCACAATGTAGAAAATAGTAAAAATAAAGAAAAACCCTAGAATGAGTTGGTGTGTCCAAACTTTTGACGGGTACTGTATATTTAAGAGAAATGCCATGGCGGCCGTGGTGCAATTAGAAGTAGCCCCGCGACCAATACATTTTCACATGCGACATCGTTTTCATAGTAGCCCAATTTCAGGAGAACCACGGATATGGCAACCCTGGCTGATGAGAAAAATGCATTTTTCTTTGGAAGACAGAATAACTTTTAATAGGACTAGATCATGTATATTTGAGTGGCCTGGGCTTTTTGAGAAATTTGAAGAGAATCCAAGTCATCATCATCATCGTCACCATCAACAATGTCATATGTCTACCTGTCTCCACCTGCAGGTAATATAGGCCTACAGTGGGGAGAACAAGTATTTGATACACTGCCGATTTTGCAGGTTTTCCTACTTACAAAGCATGTAGAGGTCTGTAATTTTTTATCATAGGTACACTTCAACTGTGAGAGACGGAATCTAAAACAAAAATCCAGAAAATCACATTGTATGATTTTTAAGTAATTAATTTGCATTTTATTGCATGGCATAAGTATTTGATCACCTACCAATCAGTAAGAATTCCGGCTCTCACAGACCTGTTAGTTTTTCTTTAAGAAGCCCTCCTGTTCTCCACTCATTACCTGTATTAACTGCACCTGTTTGAACTCATTACCTGTATAAAAGACACCTGTCCACACACTCAATCAAACAGACTCCAACCTCTCCACAATGGCCAAGACCAGAGAGCTGTGTAAGGACATCAGGGATACAATTGTAGACCTGCACAAGGCTGGGATGGGCTACAGGACAATAGGCAAGCAGCTTGGTGAGAAGGCAACAACTGTTGGCGCAATTATTAGAAAATGGAAGAAGTTCAAGATGACGGTCAATCACCCTCGGTCTGGGGCTCCATGCAAGATCTCACCTTGTGGGGCATCAATGATCATGAGGAAGGTGAGGGATCAGCCCAGAACTACACGGCAGGACCTGGTCAATGACCTGAAGAGAGCTGGGACCACAGTCTCAAAGAAAACCATTAGTAACACACTACGCCGTCATGGATTAAAATCCTGCAGCGCATGCAAGGTCCCCCTGCTCAAGCCAGCGCATGTCCAGGCCCGTCTGAAGTTTTTCAATGACCATCTGGATGATCCAGAGGAGGAATGGGAGAAGGTCATGTGGTATGATGAGACAAAAAAGAGCTTTTTGGTCTAAACTCCACTCGCCGTGTTTGGAGGAAGAAAAGGATGAGTACAACCCCAAGAACACCATCCCAACCGTGAAGCATGGAGGTGGAAACATCATTCTTTGGGGATGCTTTTCTGCAAAGGGGACAGGACGACTGCACCGTATTGAGGGGAGGATGGATAGGGCCATGTATCGCGAGATCTTGGCCAACAACCTCCTTCCATCAGTAAGAGCATTGAAGATGGGTCGAGGCTGGGTCTTCCAGCATGACAACGACCCGAAACACACAGCCAGGGCAACTAAGGCGTGGCTCCGTAAGAAGCATCTCAAGGTCCTGGAGTGGCCTAGCCAGTCTCCAGACCTGAACCCAATAGAAAATCTTTGGAGGGAGCTGAAAGTCCATAATGCCCAGCGACAGCCCCGAAACCTGAAGGATCTGGAGAAGGTCTGTATGGAGGAGTGGGCCAAAATCCCTGCTGCAGTGTGTGCAAACCTGGTCAAGACCTACAGGAAACGTATGATCTCTGTAATTACAAACAAAGGTTTCTGTACCAAATATTAAGTTCTGCTTTTCTGATGTATCAAATACTTATGTCATGCAATAAAATGCAAATTAATTACTTAAAAATCATACAATGTGATTTTCTGGATTTTTGTTTTAGATTCCGTCTCTCACAGTTGAAGTGTACCTATGATAAAAATTACAGACCTCTACATGCTTTGTAAGTAGGAAAACCTGCAAAATCGGCAGTGTATCAAATACTTGTTCTCCCCACTGTATATTGTATTGCACTGAGTTGGAATAGGCACTTGCCTTCACATCAATCATTAGGCTATTTGGGATAGTTATTTTCAGCCTGTCCTGATTTTTGTTGTTGTTGATGTAGTCCTAGATTAATTTGTTTTTATTCT